TGGATGTGGCTAAAGATGAAACTGGTTTATAATAAATTCTCCCGTTCGGTAAATTGGATTATAACCATATTCTAGTGTAGTGACAAAGCTGTGCATGTGGTGATGTGATGTCAAAGGTTCTGGAAGCGTTTAGAATCTGAGTGCATTGACGGATTCATACTCCAAACCTTTGGGATCAGAACAAATAACAAACTACAGGTGGCAATATGTAGACTCAAAATTCAGATGTAGACTCAAAATTCATGGATTCCAGTCATTCAGATTCTAAAATAAGACAGTAAATGGCAACAGGTGGTATGAGTGATTTGTGTGCTCATTTTGCGGCTCTCCTTGGTTATCTAGAGAATGAGGTAATTTTACCACAAGGTGACTCAGAGTTAGACGATAGTAATTTTCTTCTGGGGGTAGTTGTCACGAATTTTGGGTGGTGTCTCTGACTGGGGAGAAGCAGCAAGCAGAAGTTGCACATGGTATTCAGATGCAAACAATCTTTTAAATCTAACATGGGAAAAATCCTGGTGCTGAAATTCTTTCAGACATTGGAAATTTAAAAAAAAAACAGAAAACAAAACTGAGAAACAGAATCCCTGTTCGACCTACTCGTGTGAGATGTGTGTAGAGTGGGGTTTTATTTCTCCTCTTCCCGTTCTGTAAATTAATACATAGGACTGATGGGAGAGGCACGCAGCCCAGAGCGCGCAGTGCAATCCAGCTCGCCGTGATTAATGTCAGCTGTTGGGAAGCTGTGCCGCCACATGTGTGTGTGAAAAATTAAGCCTTGGGTTTAAAAAAAATTTTTTATATACTTAGCAATGCCAAAGAGTGACAAATGGAAGATCCCCCTCCCCCCCCAGTCTCCAAAAGCAGGAGATGTACATAGGAGTTCTCCCTGAAAGTTAAGTCGAGCCTTCATTCCTTAGAGGGTCACAAGTGGAACCCCTGTTACACTTGCAGTACATTTCAGTGTCCCAAGAAGAGGGTTATGAGGGACCAGACGCTAAGTTTTCTTTGTTCCGTGGTGCCAGTCAGTGGGTTTCTGGCTGGAGTACTGACAGCTAGGGGACAGTCTGAGACGCCCCCTCCCTCTTAAGCTGACTGGATGTCTGCCAGGCGGGTGTGTGCCACGATTTGTCTCCACACTGTCGGAGAGAGACAGCTGCCTTTCCCTGTTTTACAGATGAGAAACTTAACCACGTTACAGATAAGCCCTAGGTTGTACCACCATTACAGTAGTGACGGTAACGCAGGTCTGTCTAAACGCACCCCCCTCCCTCCCTCCCACTGTGACAGTTCCAGATGTACGAAAGAGAGACTGGAGGGAACACCCAGCTACCCACTGCCTAGCTTGAAAAATAAGTTCAGCTGAAGCTTTTTGAGAATACTGTTACACCATTTGCCAGGAACACAGAGAGAGTTATTCAGAAATCATGAGGGAAGCTTTTAAACTGGATGGGACATTAAAAAGTTAACTTGAAAATTTTACTTAAGTTCCAAAAATGTGACAGAGAAGTAGGGCAGTGCTGCCTTTGTCTTAAGAAGCATACGATCGAATTGGGAATCGTACCGACAGGTTGAAAAAGGGAGGATTGTTTTTGTGTTTTTTTTTATCCTCACCCAAGGACATTTTTCCATATTTTGTTCAGATAGAGGGGGGGAGAGAGAGAGAGAGAGAAACATCGATTAGAAAGGGACACATTGAGTGGTTGCCACCCGCACAACCCAACCAGGACCGGGGACAAATCGCAACTGAGGTACATGCCCTTAGCAGGAACCGAACCCGGGTCTCTCTGGACCACAGGCCGACGCTCTAACCACTGAACCAAACCGGCCAGGGCGGGAGGATTCTTTAAAACAATAGAAATGAAATCTTTTGATATATGCCAAATACTGTGGGAGGTGGGATGGGGAATACGGAGATGCAGTGCCCACCCCCAAGGGGAAGAAATAGCACAGTAAGGTGAATGCTGGAGAACTTGGATGGTTATTTCCTGAAAAGATGACACATTCACATTTGGCTGCTGTACAAGGGACATGAGACTTGACTTGCTCTGAGAAGTGAATTTAAGTAGCCTGAATTACATAAAGAACAGGCAGATAGTCTCTCCTTTTAACAAAGCCCAAGCTGCTCTTTAATAGAGAGAGAATAACAAAGTAATGAGTTAGGTTTTTAAAAATGTACTTTTAAATGTCATTCAGAGACAACTCGGGATAGCGTTAGTCTTGATAGAAATTTGACTTCTTTTTGGTGATTGCTCCATCGAAGATGTGTGTGAATGTGGAAGATAACAGGTTGATATTAGACAGTATACTTTATAATCTGACGAGAAATGCCTAGACAATAACAAGTTATTTTAAAAGCCAGCTGGGCTATTAATTCTTGGGATATAATTTTAAGTAATTGTAATGCCATTACCTTGCGAGCCTGCATATATTTGGTTTTTGGTTTGCTCGGGAATCCTGAGGGTACTTCTAGCAGATGTCTGTTGCATCCATGAACGTTCCAGAGCACAGGTAACTTTGGAGCCGTGGGGCAAAGTCAACATCACTAATTGCACTCCACACTCCAGCCAGTGCCGGCTGCAGGAGCCAGGGCCTTGAGTCAGGTTGTCCAGGCAGGCTCAGGTTTCATTGTGCATTTAAACAATGGAGCACCTGTCTCCAGGGAAGGGAATGAGAGATTTATGCAACTACTTAAAAGGAGCTTGCAAATATGTTCTGTTGTAGCTCTGTAACTCTTGGGGACCCTTGGATTACTTTGTTCCTGCCTGAACAAGGGAAGTGGGCTTCTCGCAAATTGAGACTCATAGTTTAGTGATAACTGCTCCTATCAGTCAGGTCCCTGTGTGTGTAGGTGAGTGTTATTGTGGTTTGTTTCAAAGAACAGCAACTCCATCTCCAAATGACTTAAAAGAGAATTTATTGGCGCACACCAAGAGAACAGGATAAGACGAGGCATGGCTGAAAAGTGTCTCCATCTAGTCTCTCCATCTCTGTTCCTCTGTGCTGGTTTCACTCTTAGCTCATTTTCTTATGGTAGCTAGACAGCTGCTAGCAACCCCAGCCCTATATTCACGCAGTTCCAAACCAAAGCCCCGGATTTAACCTCCACTGAACTGGCTTGGGTCACGTACCCAGTCCTAACCCTGTCACTATGGCAGAGGGGGAGGGAGTGATCTCGTGGCCATGACTGAGTCCTATGCCCGGCCCTGGAGTTAAGGGAGACTCAATACTGCTTCAACCAATGCTTCTCAAACCAACTGTAGTAAAGGACCATTTTTTTGTTTGTTTTAATCTCGAGGTATAGATTGATTCTCTGACTCAACGCTGTTCAACAAGATGAGTTCGCCGAACGTGCTCTTGATGTGGCATAAAGTTGTATAAAAGTTTAGAAATGCTTACCTGAATTTTGTCTTGAGTTGGTTAGAAGCATGGCGGACCATCACCAGGAGACCACATTTAATAAGTACTTCTCTAAACCCATGGACCAAGAAAGAGGTGTTTGCTCCCCTGAAGAAGATCTGGGGAAAGGATGATCAGGAGAGGGACAAGAGAATGAACGCTGTGTGCCAGGACCATGCCCAGCGCGATGATTCACTATAACTATATCTTTCTTTTGGAAGGCCTCACAGTGGTGTTCAGGATGAGAAGTTACCAGCCTCCTGTGTATTTTGAGGACTGCCGATTCCTTGGTCTTTTTCCTTAGCGGCCCCCCATCTCTTTTCCCAGCGAGGTGTGAGTCAGTGGAGAGGTTTCAGCTGTCTCAGCCAGTGATTTCTTAGACGTAACAGGCCGGGGCTGCAAATACCGTCACAGATTTATACATCACAAATACCAAAAAGTCTGAACATGATGGTGGGGTAACAAGGAATTCCCTCGCTGTGTTTTGAGGTTCCACCTCAGGGCAGGGCAGACGATACACGCTGTCCTTTGCAGGACGACTTTCTGTACTGGCGAGGGCACTTGAGTCCATTGGCCATCGAGAAGTAAGCGTTTAACTGGGCGCAGGTAGACCAACACTGAGACGGAGGTTAGAACACGTTGGCCCTAAGCACAGCAAGGTAGCCAAGGAGCGAAACTCCCAGCTCCGCCATCAGGTCACCCTTCTCGGAGGTTACTCTGTGTCACTCAACAAACAGTTCGCTTTGCTGGGAAGGGAACTTGGTAGCATAGTCTTTGTGGACTGACAGCCCCATCCAAGAGGGAAAATTAACTGTTGGCTGGATTAGAGGACTCTGGGTTAGTGAAACACAGAAACTTCCATTGTAGCCATCTGGATGGGTGTTTGTTGTGGTTACAGCAGGGCGCCGTGTGTGCGGGTTAGTCACAGACACACTATTTATGCCATAACCTCACATAACCAGCAGACAAATACAAGATGTGTGCTTGCAGGACGGCACAGCACTTTCTTCCTCCCTAGAAGGTGTGTCATAGCCTGTGGACGTTAAACGTTAAGAATTTGATGGTGTTACAATGAATTATAGGTGTAATAAAAAACTCCACCCAGGTGTCAGTTCTCCAGCTGTTCTCCAAGCCGCTCTTATGACTGGGCGTGTGGGGGCCTCTGCTTTCGGCCCCCCTCAACCCCGTGGTTCCGGTGCCGGAAGTTTGGTGCCTGGCGACCTGTGCTGTTCTAGTGAATGCAGGTCCTTTGTCCTGTAGGAAAAACAAAACCCTTGCGCATGACCAACCAGAGCTTCCTAATGGAAGACCTGTAATTTGGAGCGGAGGTGGGGTTATTTTGGAGGAATGCTGGCCTTTTCAAGCGGTGGTTGGAACCCCGGCCGGTTTGGCTCGCGGTTGAGCGTGGCCTGCGGACCAGAGCGTCCCGGTTCGGTTCCCGCTAGGGGCACACACCACCACACACACACACACACAAAAAGACGTGGTTGGAGATCCGTGAAGAAACGGAATCTTCAGCTGTTCCCTGGGCTGCAGCAGCCCCCTGGGGAGCTTGCCAGCCGTCTAGGCTGGGACAGTCTCATCCTCTGTTGTCCCCGCAGGATGCCGGTGTGGGGCGGAGGAAACCAGTGCGGGGCCTGCGGGAGGACCGTGTACCACGCCGAGGAGGTGCAGTGTGACGGGAGAAGCTTCCACCGCTGCTGCTTTCTGTGCAGTAAGTGCGGCCCGCCTGCGTGCCCTCACTCCAGGGACAGACTGCTGGCAGATCCTTGTAGAAGCACGAGGGGTTTTTCCTGTCCGTCTGGACAGTAAGTGCTCAGCGGGCAGCAAGGACAGCAGGCGGCCCGGGCTCCCGAGTCCTGTCGCTCTCAGCCTCCGTGTGGCCTTGACCGGACTGCATTTGTCATCAGGCCTGGCCGGGGAGGGGCTCGGCTCCGGTGACAGTGAAGGCAGGGCTGCCAGTCCGCCCCGGCCTCCCTGGCTGGGCTCCTTCTCTTTGAAACGCACCTGCTAGTTCTCACCACACTATTGAAATTCCAATGTTTAGAAGCTCAGTCTCTCTAGAAACTCAAATTCTGTCTTCTCGGGTAGTGAATATCCAGTTATTTCTGGTTAGTGGCATCCTTCATTTGAGGGAAAGAAACTTAGGATGTGAAAATCCCATAGAGGCAAGTTGGGAATTATTATTGTTTATAGATGGGAAATGATCAGAGCATCTGACAAAGGTGGGAAATGGGACATAAAACAACACAGGCCCCTGTGCTTGGAAGACAGTAAATACCTGATAATGAGAGAAACAGATTACGAGATAAGCCCCTCTCCCCTGCATAGAACAGGAGAGTAGTCGTATCAGAAAGCTCTTCATTAATCATCTGCTGACTTAAATGACATGTCTTTAATGAAGGATTCCTGGTGTGGGGAACCCACCCGGATAGGCAGGCGTTGGCTTTATCTAGAGTACTGTGCAGTGACTATTACTGTCAGAAACTGCATGTGCTAAAGATGAATTTGGTTCTATGAAGAAATACTCTTCGGAGAAAACGTCTCCGGTTCAGGTCTTCCCCTCTAGGCACCAGCTTCCCGGTGCCTGGACGGTTCCTAGTGGGACTGCTCCGCGGAGGACTAGAAGCCGCAACGCAAGGCCCCAGCTGCAGAGACTGAACAGCCTGTGCATGTGTGGGTGTGCCTCCCTGCTCGCTGCCACTGCTCAGATCTGGCTTCTGAGTCCTCACAGGAGTTACCTTTTTTGTTTTTGAGGAATCTGTTTTTCAGTAGGTTTGTAGTCAAAAGAGTAGGTGAATACAGAGGAATTGCAAATACTTTAGAAAGTGTTCTTGGTTTCATCTAGGTGAAGCCATGATGTTTATTCCATAATAAAGTCAGTGTTTACAAAATATCAGGTTTTTTACTGGTCATTTTTACTTCTCCTTCCTAATATTTGTCTCTGCTGACTTAAAGCCTCTTAAGGAAGTAATTCAGAGTAGTTAGAATAGGGCTGAGGCCTGGGAGGAGCGGTGGTGACGGACTAAACTTTTCATGCACTTAAACGTGCTTTGGTTCATAGATGCTTTTCAAAACAGTTTTTACATCAGGTTGTATTCCATGTGTGCTAAGGTGTTAGTTCTTCAGTGGCGCTTTTACCTTTACTGTGTCTTTGAGCAAATGTATGTCAATACTGAGTCTCTACGGCCAGGTGCCAGGGTAGGTGATGTCACGATGTTCTTCCAGAGGCTGGGCTAAGGGAACGTGAACTTTATAATTAGCCTCTATTTTCAGCTATTCAGCTCATCACCTTTCCTTGCCCTTCTCTCTTTCCTTCCTTTTTTCATTTCTCCCCCTCTTTCAAATGAAAGGGGGAGTCCCTATTTCTACTGCACTGATGTTGGATTTCCAGCTGCCTGATTGTGCTACCAAGGAGCTCCCTCACAGTTTCTTTTTTTCACATGCTTAATTGAAGTTTTAGAACGTGAAATAATGTCTGGATTAAACATGATGACATTTGGCAGTTTTCTGAAGTGGGATACTTAGAAATGGCTTGTGGCAAGACATCCATCAAGAAAGAATGTGTTCTCCTTTGGGACAGAAGGAAAAAAAAATGCTGACTTTCAGCCACTTGATGATCTTCAGGCCCACTTCTCGAGAGCTGAGGGAAAAGCTGGTGGAGACATGGAAGAGGAATACTTTCTCTTCGAGACCAGTGATGAAAACTAGAACTCTGGGTGGAAGACAGTTTTTATCCCAAGGGGTGCTTTGGGGAGGTGCTGCTACAGAGGCAACTCTCCTGAGACGCTCGGCCACCCTTCTGTTGTCCCTTAGGTTGAGATTAACATTTGGTGTGAGGAGGCTGGAAGGATTTGACTGCTGTGGCTTTGGGAGCAAAGTGTTAGCTTTGCTCCTTTTCTTCCTGTAATTATAGCCATCTCCAATGTCTCCCTCCCACCAGAGAGGCAGGTCATATTGAAAAGTTGGAGGCCTCAGGATGTTAAAAGCCCGACACATTTCTGAAACAACTGACGTAGCTGTGGAGGAAGGCATGCAGTCCTCAGATGTAGCCGGCCTGGCCAGATGCTGTCTCCTGGCTGCCGGGAAACCACAGAATAAACCAGGAACGTGAGCGAGCCTGGGCCTCTACCCATTGTGGACCATGTGTCAGTACTACCACTGTTTTCAGGAAAAAGGCATCCTTGGCACAGTTTAAAATTCTAACTTTTTCCCCTTCAGTGGTTTGCAGGAAAAATTTAGATAGCACAACGGTGGCAATCCATGATGAAGAGATCTACTGCAAATCCTGCTACGGAAAGAAGTACGGGCCAAAAGGCTACGGTTATGGCCAGGGTGCTGGCACACTCAACATGGACCGGGGAGAGAGGCTGGGCATCAAGCCGGAGAGGTGAGTGAGGGCCATGTTTGCTACCTTCAGGAATGAGTGAATTATAACAATTAATGTTGCTTGGTGAACAGGAATCTGGGAGTTTTCAGACTGTTTTCTTATAATAAATCAAGTGAGTCAGATTTTCTAGTACAAACTAGTGACTGTTTTTTAAGCTAAAAATACTGAGTTTTGGACCTAACAAACTTCTTAGTGTTTTTTAAGCTCAAAATACTGAGTTTTGGACCTAACAAACTTCTTAGTGATTTCTAGTCCTGGTTTGAGAGCATCCCAAAGTGTATCAAACAGTCACAATGTCCTCAGAGTCAAATGGTTTAAACTCACTTCCATTGTGCAGCACTTTGGAGACCAGATGCCGTGACGTCACATGATAAAGAAACGTGGTCTCTGAACCACAAGATGCATTTCTCATGTGCAGTGAAGCAGTCAACAGAAATTCTTCAGTCACTCCTTTCATGTGAGAATACTTCCTCATCAGGGAATTGTTTTTCTCCCTTGAAATTACTTAAAAGTTGAATTTTCCCCCGTATGCGATTCTTTCAGACAACAGCATTAAACTTGACAGGCCTCAGCACCAATCAAGAAATGGTCAGGCGACCTCATTTCTTCATTGGGGATTTCCTCTTATATCTGTTTTTGACCCAATTATTCCCTCATTTGAACTTCACATTTTTTCACATCCATTTTATATTGAAGAGGCCAAAATTGGTGTAATACTCCAATAAGCTGGCCTTTTCCTTGATAAGGCGGTAAATCAGGCCTTTCCTATGGACACCATGCAGTATTAACCTGTATCAGCCATGTAATCCTTGTGACAACCCTGCAAGGTAGGGTTTCCCGTTTCACTCAAGAACAGAATGAGACGGTAAGAATTAAGTGATTTTCCCAAAGTCACATTGCCAGTTAACTGTAGATCATTATAGAGACTGGAACTTAACCCAGTGTAACTCCAAAGCCTGTGGTCTTAAACATGGGACATACAGCATGCCTGCTGTCTGCTAGACACTTATGTTCATTACCTTTGATCCTCACAGCTGCTGAGTTTAATGCTTTGTCCCTCTTTTATAGGTAGGACATCCAGGCTCAGGTCACACAGATAAGTGGCAGAGCCAGGATTTGAACCGATGTCCATCTGGCTCCCCAAACTGTGCTCTTTCTGCTGCAGTGTGTAGTACGTCAAGGCGCACGTCCCTGTGACTGCTTTGTGCACGCGCAGGGTTTCTGGGCCGTGTGCCCTGCTGCGCACCAGTTGCGCCAGGGCTGACTCACTCGCTGCTGCGTGCTGTCGCTTGCAGGGCCCCGCTTACCTTTGTCTCTGTTAGAGCTCATTGTTCTTGTTATGCTCTTCTCCCACTCATTGCCCAAGATCTTATTTCAAACATTTCACCTTCCTCCAAACAAAACTAAATTCATCCATGACCCCAAAAGTCAGTCAGTGATTGTGGCCAGTTTTGAAGTCACAAAGACCAGTGGACTCTCCTCGTTCCTCCTGCTTCTCCATCTTCCCCAACAACCGGAGCCCGGTGCTGACCTGTGGGAGCCGCTGCCCCGCCTCTTCCCCTTCGGAGCCTGGTCACATGCTGTTATCCTTTAGGGCCTCGTAAGGGACTACCTTTCCAAGAAGCCTTTCTTCTGTTTTTTAATCCTCACCCGAGGATATTTTTCTCTTTATCTTCAGATAGAGTGGGAGGGAGGGAGAGAGAGAAACATTGACGTGAGAGGGACACATAGACAGGTTGCCTCCCCCACGAACTGCAACGAGGTACATGCCCTTGACCGGAATGCGAACTCTGGTCCTCGGGCCAACGCTCTAACCGCAGAGCAAACCACCAGGACCAAGAAGCCTTTCTTAGTGACGGAACTCTGGGAGCACCTGTGGTCTGCATCACCCTTGTGGCAGGTGGTGATTTTAACAGTCATGGGAACAGATGCCTGCAGGAGGGCCTCTTGGAGAGGCAGCGGCGAGTGGGCAGGAGCATTTTCAGTTTTCAGTTCAGGCTCCCCAGTTTACTAATCCTCTAGCCCTTCGGCAGAGTAAACATCTAAGCCCCCACTGCTTCATCTGCAATTTGAGCTAACATTTATCCTTACCCCACAAAGTTGTTAGAAGGCAAGTGGGAGACAATCGAAGTGAAGTTCTTGTTAACATAATGATTGGCAGATTTGGAAATTAACTTGTAACTGGAAGTGTTGGATATCTTTGTAAACAGCTTTTTTTTTTTTAATCCTCACTCGAGGATATTTTTTCCATTGATTTTTAAATTGAGTGGAAGGGGGTGGGGAGAGAGAGAGAAACATGGACGTGAGAGAGAGACATTGATTGGTTGCCTCCTGTTGGGATTGAGCCTGCAACCCAGGTACGAGTCCTTGACTGGGAATTGAACCTGTTATCCTTCGGTCCGGGGGCCTACGCTCAAACCATTGAGCCAAAATGGCCAGGGCTGTAAACAGCTTTTCAAAGTCACTTTTCTTTTTCTTTTTTTTTTTTTTATCCTCACCCGAGGACATTTTTCCATTTTTTGTACAGATAGAGTGGGAGGGAGAGAGAGGAAGAGACAGAGAGAGAGAAACATTGATGTGAAAGGGACACATCGAGTGGCTGCCACCACACGACCAACCAGGGCCGGGGACAAACTGCAACCGAAGTACATGCCCTTAGCGGGAACCGAACCCGGGTCTCTCTGGACCGCAGGCCGATGCTCTAACCGCTGAGCCAAACCGGCCAGGGCTCAAAGTCACTTTTAAAAGGAAGTATATATATACAGTAGATTGTGGAAATAGTTTTTAAAATAGGCCTATACTAGGGAAAATTGGAGAAACCAATACTATGAATTAGTGCTGAGAATTGTTTTTTGTTGCTTAGAGTAAAATTTCCAGGGGGCCACATCAAACATAATTTTTTAAAAAAGCTGTATAATTTTTTTCCAGTAGGAAAAATCGATACTTAGGTACCGTTTGCTTAATGTTAACTATTGTTATTATATCTTTTTTTGTTGTTTTGATCTTCACCCGAGGATATTTTTCCCTTGATTTTATAGAGTGGAAGAGAGGGAGGGGGAGAGAGAAAGAGAGAACATTGATGTGAGAGACACATCAATTGGTTGCCACCAGCACAACCCCAACCAGGGCTGGGGATCAAACCTGCAACTTAGGTATGTGCCCTTGACCCGGAACAGAACCCTAAACCCTTCAGTCTGTGGGCTAACGCTCTAACCTCTGAGCCAAACTTGCCAGGGAGCTATTCTATCTTATCTGCTAAACTAATTTTAAGGTTCTAGAAAGGCCTTTAAATTGTCTCAAAGCCCAGAATGGTGTTTTGCATAATAGGTGCACCTATATATTGAATAGAAAAAAATTAGAAAGTAAGGAAAACATGGTTTATCCAATGACCTATAACAGTGACAAAAATACCGCTCTGGCCAGTTTGGCTCAGCGGTTAGAGCGTCGGCCCACAGACCAGAGTCCTGGGTACAGTTCCCGCTAAGGGTATGTACCTTGGTTACAGTTTGTCCCCGGCCCCGGTTGGGGTTGTGTGGGTGGCAGCCACTCGATGTGTCTCTCTCATTGATGTTTCTACCTTTCTCTCTTCCTCCCTTTCTCCCTCCTGCTGTATCTGAAGATAAATGCAAACATGTCCTTGGGTGAGGATAAAAAAAAACACTCAATCCAGAGAAAAAATTAAACATACATAGATTACATAGTAATACGCAAATTTTCTAAAATATTTTCCCACAAAGAAAGTGCTGTATCACTTTCCTCTATGTAAGCTATCTTTGGAAATTAATTGGTAAAAACATGCTTTAATTTCCTTAATTACAGACTACTTAAGTCAACTGACCTATATGCAAAACGACTTAAGTTAACATTGATTTTTCAATGTCATGTGAAGTAATATGACTCTGGGTTAAAAATATGTTATAGGAGGATTTTATAGAGTGTAGCATAATAGTTTAGTGGAGAGGTTAACATTGGGGATTAAACGAAATGTGATGAGGGTAGGCTCAGAAAGACAGATATGTAAGTTTGTTTGTATTTTGTAATAATAATGAGCCCATACATAGGTAGAGTAATTACTCTGGCGAGCACCTGAGATTCACTTCTTCTTTGTCCCCTCCACTGGCCTGCGAAGGCCTCCAGCCAGCAGATGGTGCGGCGTTAGGCCCCAGAGTTCCACTGTGCCTGCCTTGCCGCCTTCCACGGGCCCTTCGGAAAATCTCACATACTTTCCCTCCTTTCCACAGTGTTCAACCTCACAGGCCTACCACAAATCCAAACACTTCTAAATTTGCTCAGAAATATGGAGGAGCTGAGAAGTGTTCCAGATGTGGGGATTCCGTGTACGCTGCCGAGAAGATCATAGGAGCAGGGAAGGTAAGGTGTTCGCTCGTGATGAGTCTCGCTTTCTCGCCTTAGCCCTCCACAGCCCACTCGGGCACTCTGTTTCATAAGTAAATGCCTTGGATTAAACTTTTTCTTAATTGCATTTCCATCTGAATCATTAATTTTTCCAAGTGCTGCCCTTAACATGACAAATCATATCTGTGATTAGAAGAAACTTATTTTTTTAAACTCCTCACCCGAGGATATTGTCCCATTTATCTTCAGATAGAGTACGAGGGAGGGAGAGAGAGAGAAACATCGACGTGAGAGAGACACATCGACTGGTTGCCTCTTGCCCGACCCAAACCAGGGCCGGGATCGACCCACAACCGAGGTATGTGCCCTTGACCGGAATTGAACCTGCAACAATTTGGTCCGAGGGTTGATGCTCTAACAACTGAGCCAAACCAGCCAGGGCAAGAAACTTGTTTTTATAGGGGGTCCTCCTGAAGGCTGTTAGCTAGAAAGGCCAAGCAGTGAACAAATCTGGACTCCGCGGGTTATTCTGTGTAGTGGGGAAAAGCAGTGAACCGGACTCAGGACTCCTGAGGCCATTCTGGTGTGTGGATTTAGGAAAGTGAGGTAACCACGTCACCTCTGGGAGCTGCAGGGTTCTCAGCCATAAAGGAGGCGGTCTTAAAGGTACACACCAGGCTGTGACAAGGTCTCAGACTGCTCTTGGGGAAATGGCCCTTCCACGGTGTTGCTCCCAGCCCATATCTTCTGTGAATGAAGTTTGAACTCAGACTTTTTGTAGGTGACCAAGAATGTAGATGCTGGGGAGTCCGTTCCAGACTTCTGGTTGGGGCTGAACCACAGCAGTCAGGAGCTCACTTTGGTTGAGCTTCCTGAGTGTCTACATTGTACTACAGGAAACTAGCCTCTCAAACTTACTTATTTGTCCCTCAGCCCTGGCACAAAAACTGCTTCCGCTGCGCCAAGTGTGGAAAGAGTCTCGAATCAACAACTCTGACTGAGAAAGAAGGTGAAATCTATTGTAAAGGTAAAACTGATTTCAGTTATTATCATCCATATGAATGTCCCACATTAGCTATTTGCTAATGAAATGTCACGAGCATTAAAAACAAAGAAGTACTCTGAAAAGGGGGAAAGGAGGAATAGTGTCACTGGTTGTTTGAAAATAAAAGATCGAGAGATACTTAGATGCCAGAAAACCACAGAACAATTTTAGATGGATAAATAAACTTAAGTTCCTGGTCATTTAAAACTCCCCTACTAGTAAAAACAAAAACTCCACAACAAAGTCTTCTTTCAACTTCATGTTTTAAGCAAAGTCTGAGTATACACTTTATATCTATAGATGAATATATAAGATAATAGAAAATGTATAACTTGGCCTGGCCTGGTTTTCATGCTCGTAACTCAGTGAGCTGAACACTGGAACCAGAATGCTCGAACGTGGCCTTTACAGTTGTATTTACTAAATCTTATTTAAGTTGAACTCTTTTTGGCTTAGTCAGCAGTGTTTTAACTTAGGGTGGGCTGCTGTTGCGTGGGTCTTACACAAGGCTTGCAAAGCTTAATGGGCTCACAGTAACTCTCCCTTTTCTTTTGTAGGATGCTATGCAAAGAACTTTGGACCCAAAGGATTTGGCTATGGCCAGGGAGCGGGAGCCCTTGTTCATGCTCAGTAAAGGTTAAACCCAGAACCAAGATCACACACTGAGAATCTCTCCATAATCTAGGCACAGATAATCTAACACTAAACTACTGTGAAATTCTACCAGCACTTACGTACTGTATATTGCCCTGTACTTGCATAGGCTGCTGACTTGTAGGAAGAGAGCACTGTATCCTTTTTGCTTTATTCATCAGCATTTTCAAGAACCATTTCTTCTACATTTTAAATAAAACTTCAGCTTGATTTGGGTGTTCAGTCTTTCAGTTAACCTCTTGGAAGAGCTATTGTGATTTCAGTTAGTGAAAAATCCTTTGGGTCCCTACCAGCATTTTATTTGTGAAAGAGAGTCCACCCCATTACCCAGATGAGTCACTAGGTTCATGTCTGCATCACAGCTGTTGGAAAGATTTCTCTTTGAAGAATAAGTATTCCTAAGTAGCAGGCCTCACAGTTCCGACTCCTCAGCTAGCACCTCCTCTAGCTGGGTGGCTACTCTTTCGGACTAGTTTCCTTAATGATGGCTCCTGGACAACCTGCATGGGGATCACCTGAGAGTGTGAAAAGGCAGATTTCCAGGCCCAGCGTCAGCCCCACAGAAGCAGCCTCAGTAGGGGTGGGGCCGTGGCCCTGTCAAGCTCCTCAGAAAGGCACTCTGACCTAGAGCGGTGCACTGTTAAACAAAGCACTGGAAGGCTCTAAAGATGATTACAAACAGCTGCCTCTGACAGCTATCGAATCTGAGGCATAGGGTGACGACTCCACTACAGCCTGGGAGCTGGAGTGCTTTCTCACATACTTCAGTCTGCTTAAGCAGCAGAGCATGTCGCCTTGTCCTGATGCATTCGGCCGGCTCAGGTGGAAAAGGAGATTAGGCTATATAAGGACTATAGAAACTTTCTGTTCTTGACCAGAGACTCAATCCAAATTTTTATTTTCTAGGGGTATAGTCTGAAATTGGTCTGTATTTTAGTGAAACTGAACCAGCCTGACCTGTGAACACACCTTAATCTTTTCCAAAGCCTATCTTAACATTTTATATTGCTTATCTTGAAGCCCTAAAGAGGGTGTGTTATGTATGACATCAAAAAGATAAGCAGAAACTTAGTGGGAAGAAGTCAGCTGAGGGTGTATCAAATGATAGAACCCATGCTTATTTACATCATAGCCTTGAGCACCTCACAAGGTCCATTGTGGGAGAAGGGTGAGCCTTTTCTTTAAGCAGGTAGGGAACTTAATCAGCAATAAAGGAGACAGCTTGACGGAAGAATCAGTAATTTCTATATGTGGAAGTTTTACTATGTTTCACAAATTCTTTGACATACCCATCAAAACATGGAGTCTAATTCCCTTCCCTTTGAACAAAGGCCAACCTTGGTGACATTTTTAACTAACAGAATGTGATGGACAAGGCTAGGTAAAAAAAAAGAAGACAAGACTGCTTCTGCTTGCCTCTTTGTCTTAGAATGCTTCTCTTAGAACTTGCCAGCATGTTTTAGGGAAGCCCAGGCTGCACAGGGAAGCCAAATACAGGTGTCACTGAGCTCCCACCATCAGCCCGTCAACCATCACACCTGGGGGAGCCTTCCGATTGTTTGTCTCGCTTTTGTGCCACTCCAGTTGACACCAAGGGGAGTCAGGTGAGCTACTGCTGTTGAGTTCTGACCAAATGCACATCTGTGAACAGAAATACCATGTTAAGCCACTAAATTTGGGGTGGTTTGAGGCAGCAATTACCAGAATGTTCTATATGTTAACACCCCCCCCCCCCACACACACACACACACAGGATCATTTCACACACTTATATGTTTCCCAACTGTATTGGAGATGCTCATAATATCCTAGAGGAAAATACTCTAAATGAAGTTGCCTGGTAATTTGAGATTTCTGCATGATAAAATAAGTTAGGTATCCATTAGTCATTAAATGTATTCTTAAATTGGGAGCCAGGACAAAACAGCTACTCCAAAACTAAACTTGGCTTCCAGTGGTTTCGGGAGTGGAGAAAGGAATTTGGCTTTGGGCAGGCTCTGTTCTGGGAAGTGACTTTCATCATTTGAATATAAATTGACAGGGTAGCACCCAAATAATCCAAATGTGGTATTAAAGTGCTTCGTGCAAATACCTTATTTAAAAAAAACCCATTTGGGATATTTCAGCCCCTAGTAATGTGGTATATTTATGGAGGGTTGCTGGCAGAACTCTGGTTCCAAAATGAATTCATGATTAAATTTGGGGAATGCTGCAGCTATCGATCTATATATGTATGTCCCTGTAGACTCACAGTGCCTGAAGAACTGGAAACCCGGTGGTTGAGAAGTCTGTTTTACCTTGAAGAAAACCTTACACTGTTGTTAGTTGTCCATGGAACCACTAACATCTTGAACCTGGATGTGGCCTGGGCCACTGGTTTTCAAACTTTTTTAAACTAGGAACCCCTTAACATTCTTAAATTGAAGACCCCAAACAGCTTTGGTTTATGACGGTTATATCTACCAATATTTTCCATATTAGAAATTTAAAAACTTATAAAAATGTATCAACTAACATTTCCACTTATAGCAAAGTTGAAATAAGGGAATCATATTTACCTTAACAAAAAAGATGTGAAAAAATATGGTTTACAAATATATATATGGTTTTTGTGACAATGGACGACAAAGGGGAGTTACGGGGAAATGAGGTCAGTGTCCTAAGATGACTGAAGCAATGCTTTGAGAGTTTTCAGATGCAGCGCGACGGGGAGAAGACCACCGGGTTAAGGAAACGAAGCAGGGTCCGGCGGGACTGCAGAGCTGCACAGAGAACTCAGAAACGCACCCATCATAGCCCAACACCTTGCAAGTCTTCAGCTGGGTTCAGAGAGCTCATATATGTGAGGTTGGGGAAGGGCCTGGTGCTCCGAAGGAGCCGGGAATAATACTTATTCCCACCGGCAAGGTTGGGAAACATGACTCGTGGGGCTTTGGATGGAGTGCCCAGGTCTTGCCTTAGTGATGAGGAATAAATAACTAAACTGAACACTGCTCTGGTTCTGCCTAACAAATCTTAACAGCAAAACCTAAAGGATAAAAATTTCCAAATAACTCCACCCCAGAATAAAGTTCTGGAATTTTTATAGCAATACAAAAATATCCAGAAATTCAATTCAGTGTCTGGCATCTCAAAAACTACCAGGCATGCAAGGAAACAGGAATATGACCCATAATGAGTGAGAAAAATATCAAAACCAGCCAAGACCTGACAGATATGAACTTAGAAGTATCCAAAAGAAACACTGGGAAAGAGAGAGAATTTAAAACATGAATTAATAAGTGAGCTGTAAGACAATCTCAAGTGGCCTAATATATGTGCAACTGGGGCTTCTTAAGGGGGTGGGGGTGGGGGGGATATGTAGAGAAATAACTGAAAACATCTCCAAATTTGATGAAAACTATAAACATCCAGACCCAAGCAGCAGAAGCAACAATGAGGCTTTCTGGTGCTTCAAATGAAAATAGTCCCTCTCTCGGAGTACTAGAGACATAATTTTTCAATCCAAGTAACATCTGATGACAGATATTCTAGTAAAATTTATTTGAGCAAAACATCCCTAAGAGTCATGGCTAGTTTTCTTGAATTTGTGACTTAGCTAACCAAGATCAAGGGTAATTCTGAATGTTCCACTTGGAATTAACAGATTTTTCTCTTGAAGAAATTTTTTTTATTGATTAGAGAGGAAGGGAGAGGGAGAGAGATAGAAACATTGATGAGCAAGAACATTGAGTGGCCCCCTCCTGCATGCCCCCACTGGGGATTGGGCCCACAACCTGGGCATGTGCCCTGACCAGGAATAGAGCCGGCGACCTCTTGGTGCATGGGTCGATGCTCAACCACTGAGCCACACTGGCCGGGCAGATTTTTCTACTTTAAAAGTAAAATAAAGATATTTAACAGAAAACTCTTATACCAATAACTTCATGAAATTGAAGGTTTACTTTCTGACAAGCAGCTTGGTCTTTCTGTCCTGGTATGTACTTACTTCCACTCTGTAAACTCTTAGAACCAGACATTTATATCATAGGTAAGATCTATCAATCTGGGAAGAACTTGGAGGGAGGAGAGATGTGATCAGATGAGCAATAAAGAGGAGAAAACTACCTACCGAGAATGAAACTGATGGCTTACCGTAGAATTTATTCTTATATAGTTGTTCAAAATATCTCTACTTGAGCTCTAGGTAGGTCCGGAGGCATTACTTCCAATATTATTAAATAACTATGAAATGAGTATTAGTCCAATATTAAAATATTTACCACTGGGTCCTCAAACCATAAATAACGTGAACAACAGAAAAGCATTCCTTCATAATTTTTGTGTTTTTGTTGTAAACCTCACCCGAGGATACTTTTCTATTGATTTCCAGAGTAGAAGAGAGGGAGGGAGGGTGGGAGATGGAAACACATCGGCTGGTTGTCCCCCGCAAGGCCCCGTGGGGCTGGAGATCGAACCTGCAACCCATGTACATACCCTTGACTGGGAATCAAACCTGCAACCCTTTGGTCCACAGGCTGACACTACCACTAAGCCAAACCAGCCAGGGCAATTTTTGCTTTTTAAAATTTTCAAATAAAGAAGCTTTCTTTGTCATGCATAGCTTTTCGAGTAATTAATATCAATGTTTGGTAGGTTTAATTTTCTAATATTTCACTACCATGTCTTTAAATATATTAAAACCTGGAGATTCATACAGTCCCAGAGGATCCTAATTAACTCCATAGAATCCAAGATTCTTACAGAAAAGTTTATTCTCTTTATTAAAAAAATAATTACACACACAAATACACATAAAATTGAGGAACTTTTTTTAGAATGCCACCACCATCTTTTACTTTTGCCAATTTCTAGTCTTGCCATTGAATCCTAGTTGATTCAGATATAAGTATAAATCTTTTTTCATAGGTACCAGTGTTTACCAATTTCTTGAAGTGAATCAAGCGAAATAACAAGCAAGCACACACCTAAGAGTCAATATTTATTCTGATTAATATTTTACAAAATTTTGACATTTAATTTATGTAAGGAGAGCTAATTTATTAAACACTTTACAGGTTCTTCTTTGCACAGAGTAACACGGTAAGTAGCAAAATAATACTTGGCACAGTTATAAATAAAGGAAATATAAAATAAAAATATTGATGGCTTAAGCATAATGATGCTATTTTATTCTTACTAATATTTCAAAAAAATTCCTGGGAACAACAAAAATATGAAGGGGAAAAAAAAGAAACTCCGAAGAAAAAGTTCCTGTTTCGGAGCTGAAAAGTAAGTCCCTGTTTGTTAAAGGTGTCCAATTAAACTGACAGGAACTACTTCCCAGAGGCTCACCTTCACACACGTTTCAAGCAGGGTTAAGCTGGTTCCATACACAACACCCACGAAGTTCTTCCTCAGAGGGTGCGCCGCTGCACGGCTGGCTCCTGACCACTGACCATTTCCGAGTCACAGCTTTCACTAGTACTTGGAGATGGTTAGTACTAAAGCATTAACATTGCTAATATTTCCCATGTTATTATAATGTAGAGGGTTTTTTTTTTTTCTATTTAACTGAAAGACATCTCTTTTGCACTGAAAAGAATATTGCACCACAAAGAACATGGTAACAACACTCTTACCCAAACTAGAAAACCACCATAGTATTTGACTGTTAATAAAAATGTATTCAATAAAAATTGCAACTGAGTCTTCATGTGAAGTGGCTCAAAATACAAAAAAATTAAAACAAATTCTAGGCTTTTATAAATAATTGTGAATTTAAAAATTATGTAAAGTTTGCCTCAATTAGTAGTCAAAACTAGCAGAGACATTTGTAAAGTTAACCAGTTTTTTCATTCACACTCTGACAAATGGCACAATGCTAATGCCACCCCACACCCATCTCTTCCCCTTTTCAAATATAAAGTATGTATGCCAATTTTCTAATATTAAAACACATATACTAAGGGTAATCTTTCTGATGTGCGACTTATGGTCAAAGGAACTACTATATAAAAATGGTACTTGGAAATACTGAACATCAACTATGTACATTTTCACTGCTCCTCTTACTAAGGCAAGGGGCGAGTATACCACTAGATTGCTTTAATACCTGTAATCTGCATTTTAAAGGGAATACTAATTTTACCAAGCATCAGACATGCAGTGAACTTGCAGAGTAAAATGCCTATTAACAGCAATATTGAATATCACTAGAAGCTCATTAGTTATCTCCCTTTTCTTTTGGTTGGAAAAAATGAAATGAGCAGCTTTAAACACACTAACACATACAGACACAGAAAACTATTTGATAAATTATTTATATACAGATACACAATCTTTACACTGGCCTAGGATCTGTCATCAGTCCGACCACACTTTTCCCGCCCTCCCCCAGCCCATTCCCTCTCACGGTTTCCCACAGGTTGCTCGAACCACAGTTTGCTACAGCACTTAAGAGGACTAAGTCAAGTCTCACTCTGTAAACAATATTTATGGAAGCAGTGACTGATAGACCACCATGAGTATGAATATGCTGCAACAAAAATTGATCAGTGCATTATCACGTTTAACAATAAAATCTTTTTGAAATTCAGATAACGGCATTAACAGATTTAAAAACATTCAATATTGAAAAATTAAACTTGGGAATTAAATTCTTTCTGATAGGTCATATTTTTAAAACTAGAATATAGTATGAGCTTTTCTTTTATTCAGATGTGCTATATACAGGGATCATGCTCCATCGTTAGCTAAACTCCTTCATTTAGTCTTTATTTTACAGCTCAGAATTTAAAAAGTATATTCATTTCTCTGTTACTGAGAATTTTACATTAACTTATTCTGCCTTTTCTTGAAAACACCTTAACTGTTAATAATGAGACTGTTTGCACATCAAATTAAATTCTAATTTATGCTTTCCTGGATAGTGTGTGATAGTATACATTGTATGAGGTGTATCATGCACTTAGTAGGGCTTTTAAAATTGAACAAAATAGCATGACTTACTATACTCATGCAAGTGTTTTGTTATCAGACCGTAAAATCTCAGAGCAAGGTTACTACAAATTATTTCACTAAACCAGAAATATACCGGCACTGTAACAGCTGAGAGCAATATAATATTGTTAGCACATTTTTTTTTGGTGAACATTATTTTCTTGTGCCTTTGAAGACACATTAGAGAAGATCCCTAATAAAACCACATGATTTTCATCACAGTATTTACATGTACATTCTGAAACGTACATAATACTAGTCTGAATCAATTTAAGATAATTCTTGTGAAATTAAATGCAATACTATTAGTAGATTGTACCATAAAGTTTAGCTGTATACCATAAATTAGTTTTAGCAAGACTCAAACATTTCTGATTAGTTATCTGTCAACAGAATAAGTTCACTCTTTTTTGTGAAAAATGTTATGAGAACAAAACCAAAAAGTTGAGTATGTTGTGAATTCCCACATTAAGAACCATTAAAATTCTTTTAAGATCTTTACTCTTCCTGGGACTGGCAGTGTGTTCTGTCCATGTTTACTTTTGTTAATAAAAGTGTTGAAAAAAAGACTGTAAAATTCACGGTTAGCCCTACATATAGCATGCTACTGTTCAAAGGATGTGGATTCGAGTGTGAGAGAGACACGGACAGACACAATTTTCAGGCACCACTTAGCAATACGCTTCATAAGATAAAGACGTCGCTACACAAGCTGGTACCCAGATCCTGATATTTGGTCATATTCTATTGTATACTGCCTGGTCCAGTCCACGATAACAGGACGAAAGAGGCCACAGCATCGAAATTCAAAGAAGTCTATAATATTCCTTATACATCCATGGCTAAAAACAAAAACAAAAAAGAAAAATGTATTAGAACAATGATTTAATATATGAGTTTAATATAATTTTGGTGGTAAATATATTTTTTCCCTAAACTTAAAAACCCAGGTTAGTTGCCAGAAAGAACCTGTTTATGACTCATTAAAATATATGTGTATTCATGTTTCTTCACAGCTTGGCCAATTCTGGTTTTTCCTTTCTCTTTTGCTAATTTAATGGGTTACAGAATTGTATCTTAAAGTTATTCAAATTTGTATTTCATTCTTGTGTCATGTAATATTTTATAAAACCTTTCCTTGATCGGTGGCTCTTTGGCAAGGAAACAAACTACATCCAAAATTGAGAAAGTAAAAGACAAAATAAATACACATAGCATAAATTTGGCAGTGTACCTAAAATAATGATATAAAAAAGGAAATGTCCAGGATGAGTTCGGGGAATTTCAGAACTTCGAGAACCTTTGGAAAAGCAGTCTTGTTTCACACCTCATATAACTATTGTGCCTAAGGAAGAATTCTCAGAACTACCCAACTGACTCTTATTTTTGCCTTTAGTTGAAGGCTTGCGTGCTTTTCAGAAGCATACAATAGTTAATAGCACTGCAAAAGCTAAGGTGGTAGGCAAGTAGCCTGAGTAACACTCCACATTTTAAATATTTCACATAATGAAGAAACTACTGTTTCTTGGCATCAAACGGAATTCATTTTTAAAATGTATATATAAAGAATAGGAAAGTCTCTTCAATAAATGGGGTTGGGAAAACTGGACAGCCAATTGATAGAATAAAACTGGACCATCTTACACAATACACAAAAATTAACCTAAAATGAATTAAAGAAAGTAAGACTTAAAACCATAAAATTCATAGAAGCAAACATAGGCAGTGAGCTCCTTGGCATCAATCTCAGCCATGATTTTTTGAATCTGATACCATAAACAAAAGCCTAAAGAAACAAGTGGGACTATATCACACTAAAACACTTCAGCACAGCAAAGGAAACCATCAATAAAATGGAAAGGTAACCTACTGAATGGGAGCACATATTTGCAAATCATATATTTTATAAGGGATTACTATCCAAAATATATAAAGAAATCTTACAACTCAATAGCAATAAAAAAAAAAAAGCCACAATCTGATTTAAAAATGGGCAGATCTGAACAGACATTTTTCCAAAGAAGACATACAAATGGCCAAAAAGTATGTGACATGAAAAGATTTTAACATCACTGATCATCAGAGAAATGCAAATCAAAACCACACACAAGCTATCCCTCACACCTTTTAGAATGCCTACTATAAAGAAAGACTAGCAACAAGTGCTAGTGAGGAAGTGGTGCAAAGGGAACCTTGTGCACTGTTGGTGGGTCTGTAAATTAGTGCGGCCACTAAAGGAAAACAGTATGGAGGTTCTGCAAACATTTAAAGGTAGAACTACCATATGACCAAGCAATTCTTCTTCTGGGTATTTATAAATAAACCAAAAAGTGCTAACTTGAAAAGAGAAATGCACCTCCATGTTTATTCCAGCATTATTTACAGTAGCCAAGATATGGAAACAACCTAGTTGTCCACTGACAGATGAACAAATTAAAAAATGTAATATATACAGAGAAAAACACATACCATATGCTATCACTTGTATGTGGAAAATAAACAAACAAACCCCAAGCTCATAAAGAACGAACAGTTTGGTGCTTGCCAGAAGCAAGGGGTGGGAGGTTGGTTGAAATGGGTGAAGAGAACCAAAATCTACAAACTTCCAGTTATAAAGTAAGTCCTGGGTATATAATGTACAACATGGTGACCGCAGTTAATATCGTATTGCATATTCAAAATCTGCTAAGAGAGTAGATCTTAAAAGTTCTCACTATAAGAAAAAATAATTTTAACTATGTATGGTGACAGATGTTAACTAGACACATGTGGTAATCATTTTGAAATGTATACAAATATCAGATCATTATGTTGTACACATGAAACTAATATAATGTTACATGGCAATTATACCTCAATGAAATATACATAAAACTAGGCATTTGGGAATTTTGTGTCATTCAGAGGGTAAATAAAATTAATAACTTGTACTGAAAAAGTAGTTGCCCCAGAGCCTGAAAAATTTCCCTAAATATAAATTTCAACTGACCGTATTTTAAAAAAATCGTATTTAATTTCTCTAGATACTAATTTTTTAGTGAAAATTTATAAATTGATGGAAAGGGTAAAGATCAAATACTTGTATTAGATCAATAAAATTTGAATTGTGCAATTAAAAAAAAGTATCACAAATTTATATACAGTTAATATGATGAATTCTTTTAAAAAAATGTTTTTATTGATTTTTTAGAGAGAAAGGGAGAGATGGAAACATTGATTGGCTGCCTCCTGCATGCCCCCTACTGGGGATTGAGCCTGCAACCCCAGCATGTGCCCCGACCAGGAGTTGAACCAGGACCTCTCAGTCCATGGGATGACACTCAATCCACTGAGCCACAACAGCTGGGCTAATGTGATGAATTCTAAAGTTATGGTAAACTAACCAATGCTACATCTGGCTGATATCTAGAATTTAGTAGGATTTATAAGCTATTTTACATATTGCTAAGTAAAAAAAAAAATCCTATTTAATATCCTATTGTGATACCTGAACAAAACACTTCTCTTTGATGAAAACTGCTGAATTTGGTTTAGTAAGGAAATTTATATGCCAAAGGAAAACATTATATTTATAAATATGTACATACTTGAATGGGCTTTCAATAGATGTTGTTGTGACTTTAAAGTGCTTGTATCTTCTCGCATTCATTCTTTCATTTGTAGTAATACCTAAACACGATATCTAAGAGATAAAGGAAAGCAAACTGTTAACTGTCTGAATATTTAATGTAAATAACTTAATTCTCAAGAAGACCAGGATGGAGAGAAAAATGATGAAGTCTGGTTTTGGTTTTCCATGAGAGGATCATCAAGCTAATTTACATAATATCATTTTAACTCCATGAAAAGTAGCTAATTAAATGGGAAAAATATTTAAAAACAGGTTAGTTGTCATTGTGAACATGAGAGATGGACACTCTTTACACAGACTACCTCTCCATCAGCCTCTGTAAGAATGAGCTTTTTAAAAATCCTCAATTTAATAAAAGACAAATAATGACATTTGTTGGTAATAACCCATTACTATTAAAACAAACACAAATTAATGGCATCATCAATCTAAGCTCATAATTATATTCAATTGGAAGTATCTGAATCAGGAAAAACAGAAATAAAAAGTTCTGTCAAGAATAGTACTCAAAGTCAAAATAGGAAGAAGGAGGAGAGGAGGAAGAAAAATAGAAGGGAAAAGTAAATTAAAGTTTTATTCCTTCAAATGTAAGAGTAGAAAGAGGATATTCACTTCTAAGAAAGAAGTGAATTTTTAAGAGTGTTCAATCAGTACACTATAGAACAAATAATGCACTTGCACATACCTGGTACATCTGACACATGAGTAATACAGCCACCCACATGAAATGAAAAACACTGTTCAGAAACATCCAAAACATCCAAGGTGAACATGTGGCAATTTGAGTAATATATGTCCAAAATCCATCCTTGGTGTAAGTGGTCTCACAGTGGAGTCCCCAGTCTAAAATCAGAACAGAAGTCCTCACATTTACTCAATAATCATCCAAGGACCCTACGCAGACACTTGTGGTAGGCATCACTTAAAAACATGGTCTAAAGCCCTGGCTGGCTGGCTCAGTTGGCTGAAGCATCATCCTGTGCACCAAAAAGGTTGCAGGTTTGATTCCCAGTCAGAAATAAATGAATGAATGAATAAGTAAATAAATAAATAACCACATCCTCATCTCCCCACCAAAACCAAACAACATGACCCAAGAGTCTAGCTTTAATTAATGACTTTCAGTGCACATTTTTGAGACTCTTAAATAATCTTATTATATATTAATAAAAAAGGTAGGAGGAGGCTGTTGGGGGATGATGGAGCAAAAAAGAAAAAAGAAAACTCATGGACATAGACAACAGTGTGGTGATTGGAGCGGGAGGGAAAGAAAGTTGAGTGGAGGTAGAAGAGGGCATAGAGGGGACAAACGGTGATGGGAAAAAAAACAAAACAAAACAAAAAAACCCCATCAAATTAGAAATGGAAAGAGAAGCAGTCCATCTTTAAAAAAAAAACCCTGGCCCAGCGGTGTGGCTCAGTGGTTGAGCATCGACCCATGCACCAAGAGGCTGTCAGTTCGATTTCCAGTCTAGGTTGTGGGCCTGATCCCCAGTGGGGGGCATGCAGGAGGCAGCCAATAGATGTTCTCTCTCACTGATATTTCTCTCTTTCTCCTTCTCCCTTCCTCTCTCTCTAAAATCAATAAAGCAAAAAAAATTTTAATAAGAAAAAAAAAACCATGTACTGTGACAATATATAGTTTTTATTTGATGGATACTACATACATATATTTGAGGATGTAGCCTTCTGTTTTACTAGGTCAATAACAGAGGTTATTAGTATCTGTCAGAGTAGGACCAGGAAATAATCCTTCCAAGACTTATTTTTAAGTTGGGATCTAATACATCTTTATGCTAAGTACCACCAAGTACTGAGGCATAGTAACTAATATATTCATTTAAACTCTTTCTAAATTATGTTTTCAATGCAACAAAACCCCATAATTTCCTCTATGATAATTTTCTATATGATCAAGTGAATGATAACTTTTTTTTAATCTTCACTCGAGCCAGGATTGAGCTTCATCCCATGAACTGGGAGGTCCTGGTTTGATTCCCTGTCAGGGCATATGCCCAGGTTGCAGGCTTGGTCCCCAGTGGGGGGTGTGCAGGAGGCAGCCAATGTTTCTATCTCTCCCTTTCTTTCTCTAAAAAGTCAATAAAAAACCATACATATGTATTTTTTAACTCCTCACCTGAAGATATTTTTCCATTTATTTTCAGACAGCGTGGGAGGGAGAGAGGAAGAGAGAGAGAGAGAGAAAGAGAAACATTGATGTGAGAGAGACATGTCGACTGGTTGCCTCCCGCACGACCCTGACCAGGGCTGGAGACCAAACTGTAACCAAAGTATGTCATCTTAACCGGAATTGAACTCGAGACTTTTTGGTCTTTGTGCCGATGCTCTAACTGCTCAGCCAAACTGGCCAGGGCACAACTTACTCTTGCAAGAGAAACTTCCAATACATTTTAGTATTCTCTAGTAGGAAATAATTTTATGTTACTTTTCAGACTACTTCAAGTTCCCTGCAAGCTTAACTTCAAATATCTCTTACAAACTGTTTGGTAAGAGAGAATAACTAATACAACCATAAAATCTATAAACCAATAGAGTATAGCAAGCAAATGATGTTTAAAATGTATGTATTTAACCCAGAGGTTTTCCAAAGCCTATTAAGCCAACACATTTTTCAGGGACACACATTATTTATTTATTTTAATTTTTTTTTTTTAATTATTTTTTTTCTTTATTGATTTTAGAGAGAGAGGAAGGGAGGAGAGAGAAATAGGAACATCAATAAGCGAGAATAGCCCTGGCCAGTTTGGCTCAGCGGTTAGAGCGTCGGCCTGCGGTCCGGAGAGACCCGGGTTCGGTTCCTGCTAAGGGCACGTACTTCGGTTGCAGTTTGTCCCCGGCCCTGGTTGGTCGTGCGGGTGGCAGCCACTCGATGTGTCCCTTCATGTCGATGTTTCTCTCTCTCTCCCTTCCTTTCTCTCCCTCCTACTCTATCTGTACAAAAAATGGAAAAATATCCTCGGGTGAGGACAAAAAAAAAAAATAAGCGAGAATATCAATTGGCTGCCTCATGCATGCCCTCCATTGGGGATTGGGCCCACAACCTGGGCATGTGCCCTGACAGGGAATTGAACCAGCGATCTCTTGGTGCATGGGTCGACATTCAACCACTGAGCTACACCTGCTGGGCAGGGACACACTTTATTAAAAGGCAGTCAACTGATATTTCTGTTGCTTATACTGTATGTTGAACATGTTTGATAGTTCTATTATCTCTTTCTTTCTTTATGCTTCATTGCAGTGAGATGCCCTGAACCATAATTTTATTTTAAAGACATTTGTCATTATCATTTTTTGTTAATATGGTAAGTATGAGTATGCAAACATTTGTGTTTTAAGAAGAGAAAAAAATAATTGTACTCACAAGAAATACAACCATAAATCATCCAGCAGATCATAAAAAGTAAGAAGAACAGGTAGCCCATAAAGTATCTATGGTTGCCTGCACCTAAAGAACAACACAGAAGCAATTTTTTTTTTCAACTAAGAAAAACCTGGAAACACACCAAAGGTGTGGGAGAGACTGTCTTGAAAGGTGTGATACAACTTAGACAACTAGCATGCACATTAATAATTTTAGAAAATGTTCTTCCAGAAAATATTTTCATTAAAGTCTTAATATAAAAATGCTTATAATTACACACAAAGATGTGATGACTGTAATGATATTCATTCTGAAGGCAAGAGTCCCAATGAACCAAATAAGTCACAATTCCAAGCTTTAATGCAGTTTGCTTTGTAAGTTTTAAAATATCCCTATTTTAGCTTTACTTTTAAAAACTTTATAATCCAACTTTTCAAAGGCTTCTCCACGAGAGTCACACAATCTTTGTAATGTTTCCCTGCTGTCACCTCACAAGATCCCCAGGGCCATCTCTCAGATCACGTGGTTCATCTCCTCAGACGACCCCATTCTTGGACACTGAAGCATGTAGAGTCCTTATTTGTCATTCCCCTCTTCCTCTGTACATAGTATCCTTTCAAATATTCTTATTGCCTTACTTTCTCTAGTTTAATAAAAAAAATACTACCTGCTTCTTTTTTAATTTCACTATTATCCAATGAAGAAAACAGGAAACAGTAGGCAGCAGAAAAAATTGATAGAGAAATATCAATCTTTTCTAGACACTGATTTAAACTCTTCCCCCCTCTCAACTGAGTTGCTGTTTTGTCAACCCAAGGATAATTAGGGGTTGAGTGCAGTAAGGTAAAGGAATGAACTTTCCACTATCTACTTTATTATTATACTGTATTACCCAGAATAACTTAAATGAACAATATACTTAGAAATTATTAGTACAACTTACCTACACAGTTACCCACCCATGGGCAATGGTGATCAAATTTTGCTATACAGCGGTTGCATACACCACAATGTTTGGACCTCACTGGTTTCCGTATCTGTTAATAGGCATGTTAAAAGATTATAAAAGGCACTATATTTTAGAGAGGAAAGCAGAACATTTATTTTCTCAAAATACAATTGTAAAAAAATAAAGCTATATTTTTTGGGATTATACAAGGTTTCCAAAGATAAAACAAATCTCAACTGCAACAACAAAGTTAAAAAGGATAAGGCTACTCTAAAATATAAACTCTTAAGAATGGAGTAAAACCATCAATTTGCAAAAGTAATTAAGAATCAAAGTCCAATGTTTTTTTTTCCTGTTTAGAAGAATGGCAGCATATTTAATTCACATCTGTCAAATTTCTGAATAATAAAAACACAACTCTTTAGGCTTCTAAATAAAAATTTATTGTGATGAATGGTCATGATATTAATTGTTCTTTAATAAAATGAAATTGTTCTTTGTAAAAGGACGGTAAAGTTAGAATTGAATAAAAGCTTCTAGAATTCAAAATCATTTCATGTGAGTCTTCTCAAAGTTAACACATCTAGCAAAAACATAAGTGAACACGTCTCTTTCAGTGCCTCCTGAGACCTGATTCAGGTACAGCAGGAACCCTACTGAAATACACAGCCGTATCTAAGAAAGTACAACATACTTAGGAAGCTTAGTAAGTAAGCTTGCAAAACAAAATATAAAATATATTATTCAGCTTCTGACAGGCAGTTAGGAGATCGTGCTTATAATGTCTTAACTGTTAAAAGACGATTTCGACTGCTCCACTTAAGAGAAAGCAGTAGGATATATTAAACAAACCCTCAGCTACATTTCCTGTTCGGGAATTCACTTGTCAGTGAATTCTGAACTAAAGATTGACACAGGCTCCTGAATATAGTGTCTCCTCAGTTCACTTACAAAGTAATTTTTTTTAGAAAACTGTGATCTAGGTGAGTCTTCTTAAGGACTTGTTTATCAAAGTGAAGGATACCCATATAATGACAAATATTTTATTTATTTGAATCATTTTATAATATATGTTCTTACTTTACATCAAATTATCTATCCATAAGTACACACCTTACGATAACACACTATAAGAATTAGTATGACAAAAATAGTCTTGTTCTTGCCATTAAATATTTGTTTAACAATGAAACTGTACTGAGTGACTCTATAAAGAATTTGTTTGCCATATGGCAAACACATCAGCAGTGCATTCTTGACTTTATAGGACAGAATACTGCTACAGAACAGCAAGCTATAAATACATTTTATATGTTAAGAATGCCAGGCATGTAAAGTGACCCATTGTAAAGCACAGAAGAAACCTTTTTAAAGAATGCTTGAAAATAGCTCCCTAAAGTTGCTACCAAAAGTACAGCAGTATATATTTTGAATATTCAAAATCATGACTATTTGGTGAAAGAATGTTAAGTGAGGCAACTTAAAGAATCTGTAGCATTAGAGCTGTTTCAAAAACTGATTCCAAAACCCTAAACTAAGTTAATTAATTTATTATTACTCAAATGTTAAGACACTAGTTTAGTTGTAGTGTGTAACTTAAAGGTGTAAAAGAACATTTAGTTTTAGGTACAATTTGAGGATATTTCAATTTCCATGCAGAAAAACATGGTAACCATTGTAGTAATTTACAGATTTTTCACAAGAATTATAAAAATTAAGCCGAAAATAATAAAAACAAAAAAGTGTTATTCTATAGAAATTTGATGTCTATAATAAATAATGTCAACATTACCATATCTGATTCCATTAGTAAATATTATTTACTTTCATATATATCTTTAACAATTTTTAATATTGATAATACATTTCTCAAAGTTGCATACCATTCTGATATAGACAGACTGATGTAGTTAGAAAAATAAGAGTATTAGGGATCATACTAAACCTTTGATTTTAAAGACTTTATTACTTAGTTTTTTATTTGTTGAATTACATTTTAAGAGAGAAAAAGAATAAGAATGAATACAAATAAATGACATCTCTGAATCAGAACTACAGTCAAGTTCTACTGTTGGGGAATAAACACACTGGGAAGGAAACATCGTTTTACCATCTTTTCTCTTGTATCACTTTTTGGAGGGCATGAAATATGCTCAGCGAAAGAAACTGTTTTCCTTGTTCCCCACACCCTCTATGCCACTGGTAGGGGAAGAGGACAGATGGAAGAATGAAGAAAGAAAATACTACCAAACAGGTACTGCAGAATATACTGAGGTCCAGACTTCCTGTCTCTGCAAGTTCAACTATTGTCTGTGAATTAAAAAAATATATATATATTTTATTCAAAACTGAACAGCTATTGTGCCATCAATATCAATCAATAAACATGATGTTCATCTTTAATTAACCAATGTTTTCGGCTCAAATAAAATATTTTGTTCATTTATGTCTACTATTTCATCACAATAAATACAGAAATTTTGTTTCTTGGATATATGAAAAGGAAACCCTAAACTTAGTTATGAGAATATTCCTCTGAGAATAAAACTAAGTTATCTACCCAAAGAGCTGGTCTGTATAGGTTTTGATGATTAAGACATGAAAATAAACCTAAGTCCTGAATCTTGAGAACTGGATTATGACTAAGAAAACACGTCAACCCAGTTATTAGCAGTAATGTCTGAAGAATACTATAACATAAGAGTAGCAATCTCTATGTAGCTTAGAAAAGGGGAAATTAGGTCATAAAAACATGCCAGTTTTAGTCTACTGTAGGCAAAAATAACTCACCAGGATGTGTTTTGTTTTCAGAAACTGGATAAAATAGCTCTTAAAATAATCTAATTACCTCTAGTCTAATTCTCTACTTACATGACATCTTTAGATTATAAATTTGGCTTCCTAAGTACCTGTGTTACAGGTGAGGGGTGCCCTGGATCATATATACAAATATTTCAGTTATTGGGATGATGTATCTGTACTATCAACCAATTTATTGATCTTTTAATTTATAGTCATTCAACAAACATCTATTGAATGTATATAATTTGCTGAGGGTTTACAGAGATGTTTAAAATACTGTATTCACCCCTCAAAGTAATCACAGTAGCCTTATAAATAAGAGAAACATGAAATTATAAAATGTCATGTAATTATAAGGACAGGCATCACAAGAGCAACAACTATGCATCTCAGTTTGGTTCAAAACTTCTTTAAATTCTAAATAACAGTTTCTTCCTTTATACTCTACTATGTGCTATTAACTACCGATAATTTGGCAGTGAAATTAGTGACTAGTTAGATTGTATCTTGCTACCTTTTTCTTTTGTTCTTCTGTAGCTTTAATTATCCCTGGATCTGATTTCCAAGATTTCCCAAAATTGTAGAAAAGTGCAACACTATTGGCAAGGAATGGAAGATGGATAAATAAAAAGTTGAGATGTACCTAAAGTTAAGGAATCTAAAGAGGCAATGATAAATGAGTTACTCTTATAGATACACTAATAATCCACAAAATTTTACCACACAAAAAAACCACCTACCAGTAAAAAATACAAGCTGGTTTATTTGTTATATCAGAATAGATTACATCTACTATACAAGCTGGTTTATTTATTACATGAAAACAGATTATTAATCTATTATACAAGTTGGTTTATCTATTACATCAAAAGATACATTTTCCATATGTCCATAACTAACTGTTAAAAAAATGTAAGTTATTTATAAACTTTAAATCATGTACTTATCTACTTTTTAAAATGCAGTGAATACATTAAAAATTCATCAAATACATCATTTTTAAATGATGATTATTTCTCTTGACAAAAATTAAGGGACTTCTCATGTTCAAAGTTATTAACATATTACTTTATTTATAAGCATTAAAATCTCTATATAGCAACAAAACACTTCAGATATCATACCCATATATTTAAAAGATTGCCTTCAAATTCTCTCCACTGCCTTTTTTGAAAACATTCAAACTGACCTTAATTTTAGAAAAAATATTTATAAAGTTGCTTAAAAAAGAAAGTGTTTCTATGGTCATATTTCTCTAATAAAAACACAAAATATGTACTAGACATTTATAAAAATAAATGGAGTCAAGACTTAAATAACAGGAAAAATAAAGCAATGTTTTTAGAATAATACATTTCTGAGATACAAAAATGTGGAATAATAAGATTTCATTTTCAAGATTTTATGTAAGAAAGTATCATACAATAATTTTGTAAGACTTTTTGACATTATCACATATACACAATGTTTACATCTCTTATGAAGCACAGAAAAAGAACAGCTTCTTGAATAAAATAATCCTGTATTTGTTTGGTAAACACCCAAACACTAAATAAATAACCACATAAAGTACAGGTGAAAAAAGGGAAGAAAAGTGATTATCATCTGCTATATATAAAAGTGATTTCTCTTTCTCCAGTATTCTATTTTGCCCAACTTTCTCCATCTATATTTCAGAAAATGCACTGGTACAGACAGAGGAGAGTAAATACAAAGTCAAATTTTCAGCTGTTTCAACAGCTAAATCTCTTGAGAATAAAGCTGGGTAAATTTATGTGGAAAGAATGCTGAATCCTGGCATTTTTCACAGGCAGTAACTTTACTTATTATAACAGTTTCAAAAAGGTGCTAACATGTAAATAAATGTCAGGTTCTTACAGCCAGAAATGAGATTTGCAAGGGACTAATCACCAGTTCAATAAATGATTACAGGTTTGAAAGAAATATTCAGGAATTAAGTATCAAATGAACTTAAATAATTTTTTGCTTCTTCTTTAAAGGTAGAGATTAGACATTTCCACATGGTAGTTTGAACTTAGCTTTAGCAACAGGTCAGACCAGCTAATTTTAAGAATTTACTAAATGAAATAGCTACTCTCTACAATGCCATGGTTGTTTTTTCTAAAGGTTTAAAACAACCTTTATTATTGATGAAAATCAGAAAACACTAGAAAGTGGATAAAATAGCTCTTACAATAATCTAACTACCTCTAGTCTAATTCTCTACTTACATGACATCTTTAGATTATAAATTTGGCTTCCTAAGTACCTGTGTTACAGGTGACGGGTGCCCTGGATCAAAATACAAATATTTCAGTTATTGGGATGATGTATAGAAAGTATAAAGACAAAAAATAATTATCCCACAATCCAGAGATAACTTCTTTTATTTTTGGCACTGCTCTTTTCTTTTCTTTCTTTCTTTCTTTCTTTCTTTCTTTCTTTCTTTCTTTCTTTCTTTCTTTCTTTCTTTCTTTCTTTCTTTCAAAATCACAATTGGGATCATAATGTATTTATTAACATTAATAATAAAAAACACTTATTAGTCACGAGCTATGTGCCACTTAAGCTACACAAGAACTCTATGATAAATCTCATCCTCATTTATAGATGACAAAACTAAGGCCGGGGTTAATTAAGTAGTCCAAGGTTACAGTGAATCAGCGAGCACTTTAATGGCTATTTTATCCCATACCATATGTAGTGTAACTGATAAAACTATCCCTGTATTAAGGTTGGATATTTAGGTTGTTTCCATTTTTCCCCTATAATAGGAGTACTATGATAAGCATCCTAGTAAATAAATCTTTGATCTTATCCCTGATTACTTATGGGTGATTCAGAGATCAAAGGATATTTTAAAAGCTCATTCTACAGGTTGCCATATTGCTTTACAAGAAGGTTTATGAACTTCAGATTATGTTCAGAGTATAACATAACATCGGAAGATACATGTTTCAGGTCAAAGGCTGGGTTCTACACAGACTTGATAATCACTTACCTATGTGACTTTGAGCAAGGCACACAACTTCTCTGAATCTCAATTTATCCATCAGTTAGAAAATAGCTTTATAATTTGTGCATTTTGTTTTTCTAATCTCAAAGAATTATTCTGAGAACCAAGTAAAATATGTCAGAGCTATAAATCAAAAAGCATTGAATAAATATAAGGTGTATAATGGGGTGATAATTACTTAATGAATAGTAATAAAAATGTGTTTATGTCAATATAAAATGCAGTATCATCACAAAAACACTTAAATTAAGTATATTATAAAAAAACATAAAGCTGACCCTCATACCTACTCATTAAAAATTTATTTGCAGCCCCAAAATCAATACTCATGGTGTTTTTGCAGTAATTTATGTATATGCACAAAATGGCAAATAACATGAGTCACTCTATCCACACATTCTCAGCAGAGTTGAACGAGGTGACACTCTGCCTTCTTGTTTCACCTTTACACTGTAAACAAATATCTTTTTCACAGTCTATTTGGTGTCATATTTTTCACATGTTTGTGCTTTTTGTTGGTGACTTTGTTAAAATAGCTCCTAAGTGTAGTGCTAAAGTGCTATCTAATGTTCCTACGTGCAAGGAAACTGCTGTGCCTTACAGAGAAAACATGTGTTAGATATGCTTTGTTCAGGCATAGGTTATAGTGCTGTTGCCCATGAGTTCAGTTTAATGAATCAACAATAAATATTAAATTTTGTGTTTGACCAGAAACATATGTAAAACAAGGTTATGTACTGATTCAGTTAACAAAAATGTTGCCTGCTGGTATGGCTCAGTGGTTGAGTGACAACCCATGCATCAAGAGGTCACAGGTTCGATTCCCAGGCAGGGCACATGCCCAGGTTGTGGGTCAAATCCCCAGTGGGGGGGCATGCGGGAGGTGGCCAGTCGATGTTCTCCCTCATGAATGTTTGTATCTCTCCCTCTCCTTTCCTCTCTCTCTTAAAAGCAATAAAGAAAAAAAATAATAAAATGCATCATTCTTTAACTCTGCATCCCTCACCTCTGACTCTATTAAAAAAAAAAAAAAAATGTTGCGACCAAAAGCTTAAAGGAAGTTAATCTTCTTCCCCCCCTAGAAACAATGGGTATTTGCAGCGACTTGATAGATTGTAACTACCCTGAATAATGAAAATTGACTATAATTATATTTTTCAAAACATGTCTAATCAGCTTTAATTATATACATAGCCCTAGCAACATGAGGAAAGATGATAGAAACAACAGCAAGGAGTCTGGGGTCAGCAAAAGAGGTAGTCCCTGATAGTTGCTGCTATTTTATCATTGTACCTTAATCATTATCCTGTATCATTAACCTCATGGCTCTTTCCTGTCTAACATCCTCTGTGTGTCCATTATAAATTAATCTGGGCTCTTTACTGTTTCCTTCTTACAGATTTTTTGAGTTTCTCTCTCTGGCCTCAGAACTTTAATGCTGAAAAAGAAAAAAATGTAGCTCTAAAATCATATAGGACCTAGAGATACGGTTCTTTTACAACATTGAGAAGTGTAAAGGGTATTTTTGATAATCAGAATTTAGTTATTTGTGATTTCATTCCACATTCCATAAGTAAGATACACACAACACATTCAATAGGTAAATGTACATTTTAAGCCCATTGGGACACAAACTTAGGTTTAAAAAGTCATATATAAATAATAACAGATACTTATTTAGTACTTCCTATATGTCAGGTATGTCTTAAACTGTATTATATTCATCCTTTCAAGAATTATCTGAGACAATACTAGGATCAAACAAATATAAAAATTAGTATTCTCACCCTGGCCGGTTTGGCTCAGCGGCTGGAGCGTCGGCCTGTGGTCCAGAGAGACCCGGGTTCAGTTCCCGCTAAGAGCGCGTACCTCGGTTGTAGTCTGTCCTCGGCCATGGTTGGTTGTGTAGGTGGCAGCCACTCGATGTGTCCCTTTCACGTCGATGTTTCTCTCTCTCTCTCTTCCTCTCTCTCCCTCCCACTCTAACTTAACAAAAAATGGAGAAATGTCCTCAGGTGAGGATAAAAAAAAAAATTAGTATTCTCATACTACAATTTTTGAAAATGTGTAACTTATTTGCATTCATTTAAAATATCAAATATATGCTAATCTAATTTAAAGGCAGAATTATTCAAATAGGGCAATTTAGATAGGCTTGACTATTCTGACCTTCCCTTCAAAATATACCTGTCTCATTCTCAAATTAGCTATGAAATCTTCACAGCTTTTTTTTTTTTTACTATATTCAAAAAAAAAAAATTCAAATTATACTATATAAGAAAGTCTGGCATAAAGTTTTCATTATTTGGCAATTTATTAATTTTCCTGTTTTTCCCCACTTACATGCGTAATAGCTTAAGAGTTTAGCAACAGTCTCAAATTATTTTGGGATAGAAATCTAACTTTTTTTTCTTAAACATAAAATTTACTGTCCAATTTAGGAAATAAAGTTAGAAAATATGTCTGGAATACTAAAGTCATTTCAGAGGTCAGTGCTTTTTTATAAATTTAAAATAGATGAGGTAATGAAAACAAGCATCTGTTTTACTCATACTAAATATCCCAATAAGACAACTGTAATGTTTAATAATAAATCTCTGAAGAACAATTTTTATGTCAAAGTATAATATAAGGCCAGAATGAGCTAGCGAAAAATGCCACATGGAAAAATTTCACTACTTACGCGAGGACTTTTTGTTTTTTTAATCCTCACCCAAGGACATTTTTGCATTTATCTTCAGATAGAGCGGGAGGGAGAGAGGGAGGAAGAGAGAGAGAGAGAAACATCAATGTGAGAGAGACACATCGACTGGTTGCCACCCAGAAGGGGACAAACCACAACCGAGGTACGTGTCCCTAGTGGGAACCAAACCCGGGTCTCTCTGGTCTGCGGGCCCACGCTCTAACCACTGAGCCAAACTGGCCAGGGCACGAGGAAATATTTAAAAAGTACTATACGTTCTGAAAGTAATCATATACACTACAAGAATATAAGACTTACAAATATAGTTACAACTGTGCCTTATTCTCAAAAATAAAATAAGCATGTTTTGTTTTTCAACTAAATTACAGGACAATTTAACAAAAAGAATACAGTATCATAACATGCAAGACTGTGAAGTGAAACCAGGTATTAATTAAAATCATTCAAGTCATTGAACCCATTTTAAATTGCACCCATTTAAATCATCTTATATACTTTATGGTAATGTTTTGAAAATTACTTATTAACAAAGATTTATGAAACATGTGCCTTCATTATAATAAATCAGACTATCTTACTGACTAAACTTTTTCTATGTAAAAATATCAGAGGTTAACAATCACCTTACTTCTTTGATACTCACATATGCACACACATTTAAATTTGGAACTATATTACTTTTAAAAAGTATACTACATTGAAATAATTTATTGAAGTTAGCAAATATTTGAAAATGCAGCATTATATACTTTTCACGAAGCAAAAGACAAAACTGTTAGCTACCATAGCAAAAGAATAAGTTGTGAAATTAAAAAATATTTAGAGAAAATAGCTTGATACTGAAACATAAAAATCACAGTTTAAAAGAAAGGTTTAGAATATATGTTATAGAATCATGTAAGTACATGTTTTTATTCCACCTATACCAGAGACTAGCTATGTGGCCTTGGGCAAGGATAACAGGCTAACCTACTTAAGCCTAAATTTTCTCATCTATAAATTGGAAATAATACTAACGTACTAGATGTGCAGTAAACGATACAAGGTATTTAAGAAAATGCCTTTTAAACACACAATAAATGGTAGCTATTATTATTACTATTATTACTGATGTTATCAAAAGTAGTTTTCAAAAGCAATCTATTCAATATGTAACATTTTAAAAACAGTATTTATATACTTATTGTTCTAGAAATACTGCTCATATCTATTTTTCAAGAAATACTGTTTTAGTGTTGCTAATTGTGAGTTCAGTCCTAATGTTAAATTATTATTAATTATCTGTTTAAATAACAAAAATTGCTTAGCTATGACCTTTATAACCAAAGGATATCATTCCAAAACCAGAAGAACCATGTCACATACATCCAGAATTTGGTTGCCAAATATATTCCAAGGGGCAATGCACTATGCATTGAATGATCAAAAAAGGATCTGTAAAACATAAGTTTTATAAAATTTGAGCTCTATATTTCATTGTGAAAATAAGTGTTTACATATTTAAATGAAATTCACACACGCTTTATATAATAAACTCTAGTTTAACCAAAATCCAGAAGTTCAGGATGCTTAAATACTAAGACTGTTTTGACAGTAAGCAACAATAAATGACTTCATAGCTGAATGCCTCAGCAAGATTTTGACGTTCCCTTTAATTCATCAAGAATATATTACATTTACTTAAAAAAATTTTTTTCTTTATTGATCTTAGGAAGAGAGGGAGAGAAAGACAGGAACATTGATGAGAGAGAACACTGATGGGCCGCCTCCTGCACGCCCCCCACTGGGGATTGGGCCCACGACCTGGGTATGTGCCCTGCCTGGGAATCCAGCAGGCGACCTCTTGGTGCATGGGTCGATGCTCAGCCACTGAGCCACACTGGCAGGGCTACATTTTTTAAAGTTCAGTTTTATTCTTTTTTTGATTGCTTGTAGTCTATTTCACTTTTTAAAAAATTGATTTGAGAGAGAGAGAGAGAAAAGGAGAGGGAGAGAGAAATAGAAACATTGACGAGAGAGAAACATCAAACTGCTACCTTCGGCATGCCTCCTACTGGGGATTGAGACTGTAACCCCGGCATGGGTCCTGACCAGGAATCAAACTGGTGACCTCTTGGTGCATGGGTCAATGCTCAACCACTGAGCCACACTGGCCAGGCTCCATTTACTTTTCAATGTCAAATTTTCAGTGTACTTTTACACTCTTAATAAAAAATTCAACTTTAGTATATATAGTAACTCTATCATTCAGCATGTTATTCACTGATGATGTGTTATAATTTGACAATAAGTACAAAGTAATCCTCAAGTTTTTCTCTATATTTCATCATCATTTCTCCTAATCTACATACTCCTGTTAAGTCTTCACCAATCTTTTCAAGTAGAATGCACTGCTAATTTAGTGGAACTGAAGGTCATTCATTATTTACAGCATTAGAATCCAGGAAAAATAAGTATTAATAAATTTCATCAAATATAAGCAGGATCAACCACCCATGTAGGCTAAATAGAAAATCTTGGTAAATTCCCTGTTATAACGGCCCTCAAAGCTCCTAGAAACACTTAAATGAGATTAATTCCCTAGAACTAAGCCAACTTCCTGAGAGTTAATACATTAGTGTATTACTGGTCATTCTCATCTCTCTGTGTAGATTATTTGAAAAACTCGCTTCTGAAATTCAGGTGAAAACAAAGTACTAAAGGAATGAATGGAAGTTAGGTGGGAAGTTCTGGATCCCAGACACCTGCCTAGGTTTGCTGGATGGGCAACTTTAAGGCAATGGGATCTAAGGACAAAAAAAAATTATCATAATGTTTAAAGAAAGAAGAGGGAGGAGAAAATAATAATAAAAACTGAGCTTACTTCATATGCTTAGACTTTACCTTGCTGCTAAAATCAAACCTCTTTCTTGCATATTGCCTATGACTAAAGAAAATATAATTTGTATGAAAAGGTAAGCTCAAGCATTAATATTACGTAGAAAGAAGCAATATGTATATTACATTTAAAGTTCAACAAACTCAAGTCCACTTTTATTGAAATGATTAAAACTGTATTTGCTTTAAAACTTAATGCTAGATGGTCACCAAAAGCACCTTTAGAATCAGTTTAACAATGTTAAAAATCTTAAATATTTCACATATAAATTTGCCAAAATTCTTTAACATTAAATTAAGATCAAACATGGTACATAAAGGCAATGTTCTGAACATACAAAACATTGATTTTATATAGCAGAATCCAAATTATAATCTTTCATTTATAGTTAAAATATAGTTAAAAATGACATACTTACTTTGAAAGAAACTGTACTGTAGCCCAAACACCACCATACATAAGCCCTTTAATGAGCCAAGAATCAATATTTAGGTCTGCTATAAACCCAACCAGCCAAATAACGAGGAAAGGAGTTCCTAGCATTACTTTCTGCCGAAATTCCTGTACAGAAAACAACAACAACAATTAGTAAGAAAGTTCTGCAGGTTTCAAGTAACCTCAATATGAACCACTGTTATACCTTTGTGAAAACATGCAACAGATAGTGAAATTCATTCATTCAAATATGCTTACTATATGCAGGTATTATTCAAGGTGCTGTTCTCTGTCTTCAGGAAACAGACAATAAATAATTTAAAAGTACTTGGTTAAAACTGTGAAAATGAGAACAGAAGTTATAGGAGTGTGTCTAGATAGTCAGATATAGAAGAGAGCAGTACCACCTGCTAACACATGGACAGGCTAGAAAACAGTTCATGACAAACCCCACCCCATTTTACCAGGGGCATTGATAACTAGAGACCAAGGACAATCAGAATGATGGATGGTCTAAGAACTGTATTAGATAAGAAAACTGAGGATGCTTAGGCTGGAGAAGACATTTTGAATGATACATATAAACAACACCTTAAAACCTTAAAATGAGATGGAGAACAAAATCAAACAATCTACAGGGTACCAGAATCCATAGAATTCTGAGATTATGTGCCTCTGAAAACATATCAAAGCCGAGTAGTTCCCTCCCGAGGTAGTTCTTTTTCATTTTTATAGTTGTCTGGTTGTTAGAAAGTCCATTCTAAGTATAAAACCCATCTATTCCCTTGTAGCATCAACCACAATAGTTATCTTCAGAGCAACATAAAGTAGCCTATTGCCTCTTCTACATAATAGCCCCATCACAAACTTACATGACTCTATCAAGTGTCTTGCGTTATCCTGGGTAACAAAGCTACAGACTTTTTCATATAAACAGCCATGTCTTTCCCAATTCAACTATTGTAATTCATTTTCTGAACTACATATTTAATTTTAACTTAAATTAATGAATAAACATATCAACTCAAGTTTTATTTTGTTGTAATTAAATAAGTAATCGTTCCAATTTGTTTTTTTCATCTCTAGTATTTTGAATTTTATATCAAGACATCAGAGATTTATAACTAGAGGAAATAATGTATAGGTAAGGGGGTTACTGGTGGTAGAGAAAGTAGACCTGTGTCATTTGAAAAAGTCTTTTCTAGAATTTTCTGTAATTTGGCTTTTTAGTCAAGATACTTGTTTTTCTTCAGCAATGTCCACATTTCTTCATTATCAAAAAATAAGATATAATTCACATATAGTAAAATTCACCTTTTCTGTATAGTTCTCTGAGTTTTGATTAACATACATAGTTGTGTAACTAGCATTAAAATCAAGACACAGAACAGTTATATAAAGTCAGGAAATACCCTGTGACCGCAGTCCCAGCCCCTGGTAAATACTGATCTAATTTCTGTCCCTACACTTTTTCCTTTGCAGTAATGTCATACAAATGGAATAATGCTGAATGCAATCATTTAAGTCTGGCTTCTTTCACTTCAAAAATGCATTTGACATTCATCCACGTTGTTGTGTAAATCAGTAGTCAGTTCCTTTTTAATGCTGAGTAGTATTCTGCAGAGGTTCTCAACCTGTAGGTCGAGACCCCTTTGGGGGTTGAACAACCCTTTCACAGGGGTCACCTAAGACATAAAAGTAGCAAAATTAAGTTAAGAAGTAGCAGCGAAAATACTTTTATGGTTGGGGGTCACCACAACATGAAGAACTGTATTAAAGGGTCGTGGCATTAGGAAGGTTGAGAACCAATGCATTACAGGATTTATCAGTTTTGTTTTTTATCCATTTCTCAGCTAAGGGATTAGAGTTGTTTCCAGTTTTGATGACTGTGAATAAGGCCACTATAAACATTTACATGCAGTTTTTGTGTAGCATAAGTTCACTTTACTTGGTTAAATATCTATGCATGAGATTTCTAGGTTTTTGTCAAACTCATATAACATATAACATATATATTATAAAGGTGTGATGGTTATGTTCTACTTTTATAGACATAAAAAAATCTATTTTCTCTTATATTTTACTATGGAAACTTTCAAATATAGAGTAAATTCTAAAGAATTTTATACTGAATATCTGTATGTCCACCACCTAGCTTCTACAATTCAGTAATCTATTTTTTTTATCCTCACCCAAGGATATTTTCCCATTGATTTTTTTTTTAGATAGAGTGGGAGGGAGGGAGAAAGAGAGAGGAACATTGATGTGAAAGAGACACACTGACTGATTGCCTCCTAGATGACCCCAACTCCGGCCAGGGATCAAACCTGCAACGGAGGTACGAGGTACGTGCCCTTGACCGGGAATCAAACCTGCACCTCTTTGGTCTGCGAGCCTATGCTCTAACCATGGAGTCAAAGCAGTCAGGGCGGTAATCTATTTTTTCATTACATTTTTTATTTGGAATAACTGTAATTCATATGCAGTTGTAATAAATAATACAGACAGATCTTAAGTATCCTTTAACTAGGTATCCCCAATGACAAACATCTTGCAAAACAGTAATACAATACTACAACCAAGATATTGACATCGATACAGCTAAGATACAGAACATTTGCATCACTATAAGGATTCCTCATGTTGTCCTTTCATAATAACCTCCCTCCAACCCTACCATTACCCTCATAATTAACCTCAGGCAAACACTGATCTGTTTTGTATTTCTATAATTTTGTTATGTCAAGATTTTTATATAAATGGACTTCCGGTCAAGATGGCGGAGTAGGGAAATGCAGTATCGCATTCTCCCACAACCACATCCAAGTTACAACAAAACTACAGAACAACCATCATCCAAAACCGCCTGAAATCAAGCTGAATGGAAGTCCTACAACTACGGAATTAAAAAAAAAAAAAAAAAGCAGCTACATCCAGACCGGTAGGAGGGGCGGCGGCGCGACAGGCTGGTCCCACACCCAAGTGTGGCGGATAAAAATCAGGAGGCTCCCGAGGCTGGGAAGGTTCTCCCTGAGGACTGAGGGGTCCCCGTCCCACACCAGGTGCCCCGCTCAGGTTTCCAGTGCCAGGAAGAGAAGTCCCCATAACTTCTGGCTGGAAAAACCAGCGGAAACTGAGGCTCAGGGAAGCTGACCTGGCTGGAACCACAGGCAGCTCTTTAAAGGGCCCGCGCACGGACTTATCGGACTCTCTCCCTCTAAGCTTGGAGGGGAGGCAGCTCCAGGGGCACCAGAGAAATACAGGGAAGAACTGAGCTGTTTGGCACTGGAGCGAGAGCTGGAGAGGGGGCTTCCTCGGGGACAAACGTGCTGTAAGAGGCCTTTGTTCCTTTGGTGAGCCCTTCTCTGGGGCGGCAGACAGTCGCCATATCTGGGACTCCAGCAACCTGGCTCACACTGGTAGCCCCGCCCCACCCAACTTTCAGGCCCACCCAAGCTGTTGCCACTTGCTTAACCATAGGATTGGCCTGTCTTGGATCCTGCTTCAGGTTTTTCCTAAATTCTTTCAAACGAGCAGCATTGGGTCTCAGCGAGCCCTATACCTCTCATTAAGTAATACACAGAAACACACACAGGGAGGCAGCCAAAATGAGGAGACAAAGAAACAGGTCCCAAATGAAAGAACAGAACAAAACCCCAAGAAAAGAACTAAGTGAAATGGAGATAAGCAACCTAACAGATGCTGAGTTCAAAATACTGCTTATAAGGATGTTCAATGAACTCAGTGAGGGCCTCAAGAGCATAAAAAAGGACCAGTCAGAAATGATCGCTGCACAGTTAGAAACGAAGGAGGCTTTAACTGAAATAAAGAATAATTTACATAGCTTCAATAATAGAGTACGTAAATCCAAGGAGCAAACCATCGATTTGGAATATAAGGAAGCAAAAAACGCCCAATCAGAACAGCAAAAAGAAAAAAGAATCCAAAAAATGAGGATAGTGTAAGGAGCCTCTGGGACAACTTCAAGTGTGCCAACATTCACATCTTGGGGGTGCCGGAAGGAGAAGAGAGAGAACAAGAAATCGAAAACCTGTTTGAAACAATAATGGCAGAAAACTTTCCTAACTTGGTGAAGGAAACAGACACACAAGTCCAGGAAGCACAGAGAGTCCCAAACAAGATGAACCCCAAGAGGCACACACCAAGACACATCATCATCAAAATGCAAAAGGTTCAAGACAAAGAGAGAATTTTAAAAGCAGCAAGAGAAAGGCAGCTAGTTACCTACAAGGGAGTTCCCATTAGGCTGTCAGCTGATTTCTCAAAAGAAACTTTGCAGGACAGAAGGGAGTGGCAAGAAATATTCAGAGTGATGAAAACCAAGAACCTACAACCAAAATTACTCTATCCTGCAAAGCTGTCATTTAGAATCGATGGACATATAAAAACTTTCCCAGACAAGAAAAAGTTAAAGGAGTTCATCACTACCAAACCGTTATTATATGAAATGATGAAGGGTCTTTTTAAAGAAAAAGATAAAATGTATGAACAAACAAAATGGCAATGAATACATATCTATCAACAATGGAATCTACAAACAAAATGAACAGGAAGAACAGGAACATTCTCATAGATACAGAGAACATTTTGTTGGTTGCCAGTTGGGAAGGGGGTTGGGGGAATGGGTGAAAAAGGTGAAGGGATTAAGAAGCACAAATTCATTGCTAGACTGACAAACCTCAAAGGGAAAGGGGTTAGGGGGGTGGGAAGAGATAAACCAAAGAACTTATATACATAACCAATGGACACGGACAATAGTTTGGGAAAAGGTGGGAGGGGGGCGGGAGGGGGGAGGAGGGGGTTAATGGGGGAAAAATGTGGAACATCTGTAATACATTTTACATCCAACAATAAAGATGTGGAGAAAAAAAAAAAAGATTTTTATATAAATGTATATAACCTTACATAATTGGTGTTTTCACTTAACATAATTCTCTGGAAAGTCATCCAGGTTAGTGCTTGTATCATTAGTTCGTTTCTTTTTATTTCTGAGGAGTATTCCAGGGTATGAATGTACCCCAGTTTGTTTACCTATTTACCCATTGAAGGGCTTTGGGGTTGCTTCCAGTTTTGGGCCATTATGAATAAACCTGCTATAAACATGCACATACAGGATAAATGACTAAGAGTGAAGTTTCTGGGTTGCATGATAACTGCATCTTAAGTTAAAAAAAAAAAAAAAACCCCAAAACTTCCACACTCTTCTCCAGAAGCTATACTGTTTTACATTCCCACCGGCAATGTATGAGGAAATGTGTTGATTTCTCCTTTATTTCTGAAATATATTTTCCACTGGTTTGGGATGTTGGGTTGATAGTTCTTTCCAATCAGCACTTGGAAAATGTGCCACTTCCTTCTGGGCTCTGTGGCTTCTGATGAGAAATCCAGTCCTTTGAATTGTCTTATCCCCATTAGTAAAGGGATTTCAAGATTTTTATTTTCCCAGAAGTTCGAGTATGTGTTTGGTAAGGATTTCTTTGAGTTTATTCTGTTTAGGATTCATTCTGTTTCTTAATCCATAGTTTTGTCTTTTGCAAAATTTGGAGAATTTTTTGACCATTGTATCTTTGAGTACTTTTTCAGTTTCACCCTCTCTCTCTTCTTCTGGGGCTCCAATCATATTAATGTTGGATATTCTGTTATAACCACAGGTCCCTAACCCTCTGTCCATTTTCTTTTTAGTTTATTTCCTTTTGCTGTTCAAAATGGGTAATTTTTATTGTTCCATCTTCAAGGTCACTAATTTTTTCTTGTCTCCTAGCTATTGAGCCCATCCAATGAGTTTTTAAAATTTTGGTTACTGTAATTTTCAGGCTTAAAATTTTTATTTGTTTTTTCTTTATACTCTATTTCTATTTCTTTGCTGCAACCCTACTTTTCATTTGTTTCAAACATGTTCATAATCACTCAGTGAAGCCTTTTTATGATAGCTGCTTTAAAATCTTTCATCAGATAATTCTATTATCTCTCATAGTGTTGGCATCTGCTGACTCTCTTTTCATTGTCTCAGATCTTGGTTCTTAGAATGATGATTGATTTCCTTTCGAAACCTGGACATTTTGGGTATTGTGAGATACTGGATCTTATTTAAATCTTTTCTTTTACATTAATTCCTCTGATGTAGCTTAGGAGGGCAGTGAAATACTTTCTAATTCCTGCCAGGTGGGATGGAAGTCCAGGATTCCCACTTGGCCTCCACTAACACCTAAGGACAGGGCTCCTCATTACTGTTCAGCAAAGCTGTGACTTCTAGCTCTCCACCATGTCTCTACTGATACCTCCCTGGCTGGGAGGGTTAGGAGTGCCTCATTACTATTACCTGTGTGTTCTCCCCTGATACAGCAGGGGACAGAACCTCATTCATAGCCACTGGGAAAGAAAGTCCCAACCCTTTACTCAAACTTCTCTGATACCATCTTTGAAGTTAGAGTACTTCATTATAGCCTGGAGAGGGTAGATGTCCAGGCCTTCGCTGGTGTGACTCAGGGTGGAGCCACAGTGTTTTCTGTAGTGTTTGGCTACAGTAGAAAGTTATTTTCTAAAAGTTTCTATTTTGTTAAGTTGCCTTTTTTTGTGGTCCTTTGACTAGAGAACAGACTTTTTTGTTGCAGCCTTTTCTGTCTGCACCCATTCCTGATTCTACATTGTTGGCTTTGTCAGGTCCACTTCTAGGACATATGAGGCAAAAAAAAAACCCCACGCCAAACCAAGCAAGTAAGCAAGTAAGCAAACAAATAACACAGGGAACTCAACACCATGTAATTCTTTGGGGCCTGAACTTCCATTCGTTTTGTAAATAACATCCAGGTTTTTCAGTTGTACTTAGCAGGGAGGAATAGGGAAACGTACATGTACTACTCCATGATCCCAGATTTATTTTCACATAGTCAATAAACAACATTAAAAAGGAAGATATTGTGAGATTTCCACTGTTAACAAAGGTATCATGGGTTTTTAAATGTGGAGAAATCCTAGCTTAGAGACTTCCATCTAACTTCTCATTAATCAAGTTAACACTCTTTTAACCATAAATCTGCCTATCTAAAATTTTCTCACCTTCAAAACCCAAAAGTTCTTAGTTTTCTAAAATCAAAATTCCTTCCATATCTAATTGTCTATTAGCACTGCCCCAATTTTTTTTTTCCTTTTGAGATGACTTATTTTTGGTATATACTATTGAGTCCTAGGTATTAGTCTTCTTGTTTAGTTTTAAATATAGACTATTTCACAAACTAGCAAATCATGTTCATGATTCAAATTTCTCTAATTTGAGATGAAAAATGGACAGTCTACAAAATTATAAGTACTTAATTCCACAAAGCCCCTATCACATATTTTTTATCTAGTAACCTTTTTAAAAAAAGGTAATATATTTAAAGCTAATGCAAAATAACAAACCAAAAAACACAGGAATATTCGACTTCTGAACTAATCATGATAATAATATAAATGTTAATAAAAATGTGCTAAACTTTTTAATGAAATTTTTTTAAAACAAATCATATCCAGACACACAAACCTGATATATAGTTAATTACTGCTATAATAAGTAACTCTAAATGTTAATGAATATCTAGAATTTACAATGTCATTTTCATCTGACAATATATTTTTAAAAATCTTTACAATAGTGACACTAAACAAATGAAAGCACAGACTATGGGACATACCAAAGTAATACAAGATACTTGTATTATGAGCCTAATTATTACGAAGGACAGAGCAACACCAAAGAACATAATAAACCATTTTATATCATATCTAATAGAAAAACTAAAGAGTTAATGTAACTTGCAAAAACTGTTCATTACAGTTGTCCCTCGTTTATCGTGGTTAATCAGTTCCAGACTCTAGCAGTTACACCTCATGTTGAAAGATTCCTGGGGTGCTCAAATACATAGGCCTACAGTCCATATGTACAGTAATTTTACTTTTAATTGTAATACAGGGGTGTATAATTGACTCAGACAACAAAGAGTGCTGTATCATTTTCACTGTCTCGATCAACTTTTTTTTTTTTTTATCCTCACCCGAGGACATTTTTCCATTTTTTTGTTCAGACAGTGTGGGAGGGAGGGAGAGAAAGAGAGAGAGACAGAAACATTGACGTGAAAGGGACACATCGGGTGGCTGCCACCCGCACGACCAACCAGGGCCAAAGACAAAATGCAACTGAGGTACATGCCCTTAGTGGGAACAGAACCCAGGTCTCTCTAGACCACAGGCTGATGCTCTAACCGCTGAACCAAACCGGCCAGGGCTCGTATCAACTTTTTTTTTTTTTTGTGGTATGTGCTCCTAGCAGGAACCAAACCCGGGACTCTCTGGTCCACAGGCTGATGCTCAACCGCTGAGCCAACTGGCCAGGGCTCGTATCAACTTTTTAATGAATATCTTTGAAAAAAAGTGATAGAGGGAAGATGTGAAAGTCAAAGCATAAACTGGGGAGGGACGACTGTATTCTCAATCATGGCATAGAAAATAGGCAAGTTTATAAACTTTATATACACATTAGTATGCTTTTCAGCTCATGAAGGAAGTCTAAACTACAAGTAAATGAGGCATGCTTTCAAATGTATTTCCCTTTATTCAAAACTTGTCACTTTGTTCTGATAACAGACAGATCAATGTTAACGTTAAGAAAATAGTTTTACTACTGGAACAACCTGAAGAAGAAATACATAAAATAATACTCAGTCCTTAATGCCATTCAAGTTGTGATTACTGACAAGTGAGCAAATATCTTGTCAATTATTTAGGTATATAAAAATTGTCAGTCAGCTATTTTTTTCCCTTTTAAGGGAAATTTTAAGGAATACCAACTCTTTTGAAAAATGTTCTGTTTTGAAATCATATAGGCAATTGAGCAAAAGTCACACAGTTTATAATTGAAAGTATATGAAAGATCTAAAATGGGATTTTTATAGAGAAGTGAAAAATATGTTTCCTCTCTTTAAAAAAATGTTGCAACATATCACAAAAGAATGAAAAGCTTAACTTAATAAGAGGTAGAGAGAGTTGTGAGCAGCTGAAAAAGATATTAAAACTAAGATTTTTTTATAATTGATTATCATATTAACAAATGCACTTAAACAAAAAACTTTTATCTCTCTATTACTTAACAAAGGCCAGCTGAATCAATGAACTAAAATTTATGTTAAGAGACTATGGAGATTTAAACAATTTCACATATACCCTTCTTAATTATAACACAAACAGATCATCAGCCAAGTAGGTAGAACCCTGAGATACTTTGCTATCTACCTTCATTGTATCCTGGGTGAAATATTTTTAAAAATACATTGGCCAATGACAAAATTAAAGGCTGTAAATGCTCATGAAAAGAAATTGTGCTTATGAATCTTACTTAAAAAGACTATATTTGAAAATCTTCGGTCATGAATTTACCTTATCAGCTTTCAGCTTTCTAAGGAAAGATGGATTATCATATCCTTTTGCTTGCCTTGCCTCTTGCAAATGGTTGATCATCCAGACATTTTTTCTCTGCTTTGCCAAATCCAGTGCTGATTCACCCTGATAATGTAAGTGGAAGATATTCATATTAAAAATAAAAGCAAAATATTTTAGTTACTAACTTTTAAAGCCCTTCCATAAAAAGAAATTGACTGCACTCTTAGTTCATTACTGTTTTTACACTGGGCAGTCAATTATTAGAAGAATATAAATCCTTAAATATTACTTAGTATGCTTTCCCATTCAAAGTGCAATCACATGTATTTATTCATACAGATTCTATTTTTTCTAGCACCTGACTTATATTAGAGAGCAAATCAAAAAGTAGGTATTTTAGCACCTGCTGGATCAGAGGCTATCATAAAGTTTATCAGTTATTTCATATTTTTTAAAGGTTTCATTAGTAATAGTTATTGCAACATAACATCCTGATATATCAAATTCTCAGAACTCTTTCGGTTTAATTTCAATGATGACAAAAGTCTGAAGATGAGAACAGGAATGAAAAAAAAATCAACTTATACTTCTACTACTGTTGTACTGCCATTCTTGACCACCTTAAATTCATTCACCCATAGAAATTTCCAAAGAGAATAAGAGCAGTGACAAAAAAAAAAAGTGAGACTCAAGTTATGAATTTGTAGCTTCCTTTTATCTCAACAAAAAGAAAGCCAAGGTATATATGGAAACGTAATTAAAATGTTTTAAAAGAAGAAACAAGAAATAGCATTCCTAATTCTATATCTATGCTTCCTTTTGTCTGCATTAATTTAAAATCTTATTGTGCTTTAAATTAGTCATACACCTACATATCTATTCTATTTAATATTCTCCATTATTTATCTAGTTCTTTAAGTATAAAAATGAAATTAAATATTTTGTTTGCCGAAATTTCAGGAATGTATGAATGAATATTCAAAATTACTTACAAAAAACAACTAAAATTTTAATTTAAAAAACTGGATGAAAATAAAGGAATAAGAAGCCTTGGGGTGCCTTACTTAAGAGGGATGATTATTTATCAAGTATGAAGTACAGTTTATTTTTTTAAAAACCTGAAAAATAAAAAGAAGCAAGCAATAAACAAACACACCACTACCACCAATAGCAACAAACTATATTACCACTACAATAACGAAACAAAAAAAGCCCAACCAATCCTTTAATAAAAAGATCAACAGTATTTAATTAGGAATAGACTAATCTAGGTGGGTCTTCCACAAATAGGAATATTTACTTTAAAATATCTCCTTACCTATTGAAAGAATCTATCACCTAAGTTGTTAGAACCAGCTAATTAATCCAAACTATAAAGATTACCTGAATAAAAGCAATCCCTTGGGTAACAACTCCCAGAGAATATTCTGCAGTTGCCTCGGTCCAGCTGAGCATCCCTTCCACTAGAGGGCCATGTGACACCTAGGGATTGCCTAGATAAAAAGATGGAGGGAGCTTTAAGAATAATCTTTCAACTACTCCTCTAGTCAACTGACTGCTTTTATATAGTTCTTTTATTCAGCTGGTAAAATAAACAAGCAGTTAATTTAAAGAACTGTATTAAAACCAGGACTCCAAATCAAGTCTATATTTGATCACTCCATGTGTTAGCTAAAATAGTAAACAATAGTAACATCAGCAGTAACAACAAGAATCATGGAGTATTTATGGACGATGTGATAATACAAGAAATTCTTCAAGGATTTTGGTGAGATAAACATTATAGAAGGTGGAGGGTAGAAGATCATATTTTGCCTAAGTGAGGTTGAATTTCATTATTAAAATGAAGGAAATTCTTCCTTGGAGACCATCTAGGTCAGGTACTTATGAGGTAATGAAAACTATTTTCTGAAAACAGTTTCTTACCTCATTTCCAGAAACTATATATGAGTCTTCCAACAAAGCTCAGTAATTTTATATTCTTCATAAGCTAAAAATTATGTCCTTTGATAATTTTAGAAAGAAAAAATTACAAATTCTTGGGCATCACTCAGAAATTATTTCCTCAATACTCAATTCATCTGTATTTATCTGCATTACCAAAAATATGTGCAAGAAGGTAAAATATATTTTTTTAATTTACAAATGAGGTGTTACCATAAAAAAGGATAACTACATAGGTCATTTAAAAAAATTCTTAGTATTCCCAAATCACTACCTCCTATTGTTACTAAATTCAAATTATTCTATGTAACTATTATCTAGATTCCTAAATTCTTTTATCTATTATCTAGGGTTCTTAAATTTTTTTGAGTCATCAGATGAAAGCCATTGGCATTCTTCCTAGAAAATGCTGAAACATAACTTTTTAATAACAATTTCAGAGGTCCATGGCTCCACCCCTAACCACGATCCACGGTGAGTTCCAAATTAAGAACATCTAATCTGGGGTATATGGCCTTTTCTAATCTTCCTAAGGATCAAAATAGCCATTTCCAAGTTACCTACCACTTAATATTAATTGTATCCAAAACAAGTTCTGTCTTCTTTTGATAAAAGAATTTGTTCATATATTAAAATAATTGAATTCCTTACTCAAATAACTAATTTACAAGGGTAAATACCTAGTTAACATAAAGACAGATTTCCAAGAAACTTAAGCTTCACCTTATTTAGGAAATAGCCATTTTAGAAGAGGATCAACTGAAAGTTATATAACTATTAAAACACAAAGTATAATTTTTCATATTCTTTGAAGAATGTAACTTTTACTGGCTATTAAAGCCATATCCAGATTTGCAGGCCACATCTTTTTGTCGTAATTCATGATTAGTACCAAATTCTCCCTTAAGATTTGAAATAAAAAATGTAAAAATACACAGATATAAATCAACTTTATTTGTCAAATTCCTGGACAAAGAATCTTAGCTGATTTTTTTAATCAATAAATTTTTCCCTTTCAAAATTTGCAGCAATTTAAGTTAACTTAATTAGCTTGGCATTCCACATAGCTTAAAGGCACCACCTCAAATTACATATTTGCAGAAACAATTCCTACACCTTCACCCCAGAAAAGTTTTCCTTCAGTCTTCACAACCTCAATATATATCATAAGACATTCAGTTATTCAAACCAAAACATAAGTAATCAATGTTGTTTTCTTTCACCTTCATCTCATCTCTACATTAACTATCATTTCCAAATCAATCCATTTCTCTCCATCTCTACTCCTACAGTAACAAACTAAACTAAATCATCACTTGCCCCACTTTTACTGCAATAACCTTACTGATGTTCTTCTGTCCCTTCCATTTTCTTAATTCTTTAATGCATCCTTCATACAGCAACCAAAGTAATCTTTCAAAAATATTTAAAACACAAAGATTATATAGCCAGCCTACATAAATCCTTCCAAATGTTTCTCATGATTGAGAATACGTATAATTAAAGCTCCTTATCATGGCCCTGCATGATCTGGCACTGGCTTCTGTCAGTGGCTTCACTTCCTTGTTCACCGCTATAGGCCCAGGCTATCATTTCTGCACCCCTAACAAGCTTATTCCTGGTTTATTCATTACCCCTGAGCCTTGTACTTGCAGGTTCCTCTAGATCAGCAGTTCTCAACCTGTGGGTTATGACCCCTTTGGGGGTCAAACAAGCCTAAGACGTAACAGTAGCTAAATTATAGTTATTAAGTAGCAACGAAAATAATTTTATAGTTGGGGGTCACCACAACATGAACTGTATTAAAGGGTCGCGGCATTAGGAAGGTTGAGAACCACTGCTCTAGATGGTAAATTTTTCCCCACACATCTCTGCATAATGTATTCCATCTCATCTGGCAAATCTCAAAGCAAATGTCATCTCCTCAAAGTAATTCACAAATCACTCTCACACGATGTGGCCCCCTCAGCCCTCATCACTCTACCACATTTGCCTATGTGTGCATGTGCGTTTAATTTACTACTATTTATTCTCTCAGCACAATGTAAATTCTGAAAGAAGAGGGACTTCATCTGTCTTAAATACTGCCACTTCCCATTACCGAACACTGTTGAATGAATTAATAAATGATTTCCATTAGAAGGTGGTAGCTGAGCTTCATCATATTAGGAATGCCAGATTCCAGTAGAAAAAGCATCTGATGCTTACTTTATCATTTTAATTACATAAAAAGTGCACTTTAAAACAAAAATCTACTTTTCCACCAGTGTGGATAAAATGATTATTTTTACTCAGAAAGTATCAATGTTCCCTGAGCAACTGAAACAAATGCTTAGACTTTCTTTAAAAATAATGTCACTCCAGAAGCTACCAGGGAATTAATTACATTTAAAATATTTTTGTCAATAGATAACCCTAATTATACATCAGATAAAACTGAAATATTCATAAAAAGAAAGTGACTAAAAAATATATATACCATGAATTTAAATAAAAGTTCTATAAGCACAATAATTAGCTTAAATATTGAACTAGATTCACCAGTTTATCCCTATCTTGATACCAAATAATTCATGTGTCTGAACTAGAAAACATTAAAAATATAAAGCTCGCCCTGGCCAGTTTGGCTCAGCAGTTAGAGCGTTGGCCTGTGGTCTGGAGAGACCTGGGTTCGGTTCTCGATAAGGGCATGTACTTTAGTTGCAGTTTGTCCCTGGCCCTGATTGGGTCGTGTGGGTGGCGACCACTCGATGTGTCCCTTTCATGTTGATGTTTCTCTCTCTCTCTCTCCCTCCCACTCTATCTGAACAAAATATTGAAAAATGTCCTCGGGTGAGGATAAATAAATGAATAAATAAATAAAGCTCAAACCATTTAAATCTTTCCAAATATCTCTTCTCTTACCATTACTTTTTGTCTAAATTCATTACAGATTATTTTTCTTACTAAAGCTAATCAAAAGTCTATGCAATGGTTAGGGTGGAGCACAACTGTTCACCGCTTATTTGAAAAGACTTTAAATTTACAAACCACACCTCAAATACTTAAAAATCATAATCAAAGTTATTTAAAATTTTACATGGATAGAAAAGATGTTTTTAAATATTCAAAATATATACTCTGCTAGTTTCAAGTTCCAGAATGGTGTAGACATCTTGTCATAATTATTTGGTATTACTGCAATTTTAACATATTGGCAGAGTCTATGAAGACTCACTACTTGCCATATTAAAACTTGCTTCTATCTTTTGAATAAAATAACACTAAATATCTTGAAATATATTCCTGGGGCATGATCACTTTAGGAATGGGTGACTGGTAGCAAAGAAAAGAAAAAAAGCACTCTAAAGCAATTCAGGTTATAAAATATAAGGTGATCTCACTGATTTTGTCTTATAGGGATATTGGTCAGATTTGGTCAAACTCCTCCTTCCTTATACTTTAGGCCTTAGACCCTAACTTACTAATTACAGTGCTATGAAACTTTCAGAGTCTCCTATTTTAAAATGTTTGGAACAGCAAAAATTTCTCCCTATACTTTCAGAGTAGCAGGGAGGTATACTACCCAAGTCATGAAAACTACTTAGAAGTAAAGCTCAAGACTATACAAATCTTCATTCAGTCAGTCAACAAATATTTAAGAGTGCCCATCACGTATCAGACACTATGTATGGTATGTTAACTCACAGATAAGACCACTCTCATCACTTTGGGTAGGAGCAAGAAGAATTTATATTTAAAGAGGGAGACACAGAGACAGAGAGAGAGAGAGAGAAAGAAAATATATGTTTTTTTCAACTTCTTAGTTTTCAATAAGATATTTGATATTTACTTTTAACTAAATATTTTTAGATCATTTCTAAATATTGATTATATTAACTAAATTAGGCTCCTTATAACTAGTCTAAGCTACTTCATTTTAGTAGTTTAAGCTTCACTTTTTAGAGTAATCCAATAGAAAAAGAATTAACATTGAATCATAAATAAATGCCCTGATCCAGCAGAAAATAACATACTTTTTGATTGCCAATTATTATGTGGCTTGAACCCCTTTCATATTTAATTATCACATATACATTGGAAATTTACAAACATGACTCAGAAAATATTATGGTTTATAGTAAAAATTAAAGAACATTTGTCATTGACACAGTTATTTATGAATGCACATTATTAAAAGATGATGTTTAAAAGTTTAAAGTCATTTCACAGAAAAATCTGTTGCTGAAAGATGAAGTAGATCCTTAAATTTTAAAAATGAGAATGGTTGCCCAAAATTGAAGACTACCAATAGAATATTCTTACAAGTATTCATAAAATATTTACAAATTTCTCAGTGTATAAATGGTAATTGAGTTTTGCTTAGATAATTTTGTATACTTTTCCTGGATTAGTCCACCATTTAGAGGAGAGAGGTTCCCGTATAAACATCATAAAGGTGTTTATCAAATTTAAAGGTCCTGACCTCTAAAAAAATAACATCAAATGACACACCAAATGACAGGTTTAATGACAAACCTGTGATTCTCTGTAATGATCTTCTTAAAGAAACCAAAAAACTATTCCCTTCAGCTATAAAAATACATATTACATCATTTAACTTCCAAAAGTAAAAAAGAACTCACTAATGAAGACCATAAAATCTGAAAATTATTTCAATACCAAAAGATGACAGTAAATAAACCAGTCCTTCAAAAAAGAATTCTTCCATGGAGGCAAATAGTTGAGCTTAGAAGTTTTTTTCATATTTGACAGTCTGTGAAAAAAACCTGTTGTATTGAGAAATTTACTGCCTAGTAATCACATTTTACATAACATAATAAATATAGAATATTTTTACCTTGATATTCTGGGCATCAACATTAGCTCCAGCTTCCAGAAGAAGACTAATGACTGTGGTATTCCCTGCTAGTACTGCCCAATGCAAAGCAGTGTTTTTGTGATACTTGTCACCAAGGTTAACTGAAACATTGAATGTTAAAAGCAATCTAGTTGGATCCACACTGAAAAGGAAAAAAAAACAACAACAACAACGACCCTAATTTCAATTATAGAAATCATTACAGATACTAAACTGACTGTGGTTGTATTCACATTCCATCTTGGAACACTTCTAATCTAACCTATACTCAACAACTTTATAATCACTAATTAGACAACATTTTAATATGAAGTATTAAGTATGTGTAACACCATATAAAATATAGTTCCAAGAGAGGGCATACTTGGTCCTGATATTTTCTTTTTTTGACCCTGGAATTATGTCTTTAATATCTATATAATTAAACAATTATATTTTTAAATTTAAAGTTGAATTGATCCAAAAATAATTTAAGGCAACTTGCTAATATATTAAACTTGCCAATACGCAAATAACATAAAATTTTTAGTTACATTTTTAAAAGAGAATACATCCTCTTCTTCTTAGAAAATGTTGAAAGAAAATAGATTAAGGTACTACAATTAGGTAAAGGTAAGCATAGAGATTCAAACATCCAAAGAGGCAATTTATGTTATATACTATGTACCCATAATAAAAAATTTAAATATTAGTAAGTATAACATTAACTGCTTTTTCTTGTCACCTATTTTATATTTGATTATGTTGAAAATGATGTGAATAAGTATTTTATAATGGTTACATACCTATGTGTTCTATAAGCTGCCCACATTAAAGGTGTCATTCCATTCTGATCCATCATATCTACATCCTGATAGAGTTAAAAAAAAAAAAAAAGTCGGACAATAAAAATTTCTAAGTTCCTACCAAATATACTTAGAAAATTAATTTATATATATCATAGGAGAAGCCAATATAACATTACTCAATCATGGATGATTTATGAAACTTCTCCCCTTAACTTTAAAATAAAATTATTTATCGTCACAAAATATTTTAATTAGTGTGTATATATTTGATATATATTAAATATATACACCTTTTAATTAACATATTTATAGTTTTCCTTTTTAATATGCATTTTTCATCAGCCTTTCAATGTTTTGCATTTAAAGATCTTGACCTATTCTTTTTTTATTAATTTATTTTTGTTACAGATGTTTCTCCTTTATTTCCCATTGACACCCTCCTCCCCATCTCCCCCACCCCATCCCCAGCTTTGTTGTCCATGTCCATCGGTTAGGCGTACATATGACCTACCCTTGATCTTTCAGCCACAAAGGATGTATTAAAAGATTAAAGTCTTTGAAAAACTTATTTATACTAATTCATAATAGGAGAGAATAATGAAACCCTGTTTATTCCTAGGCATTTCAAAACAAATAATAAAATACCTGTCTTTTTAATAAATTCAAAAAATTCATAAATTCAAAAAATTTTCTTTCTATCATTATGCATGTACATTTTTAGAGTCAAATAATTTCGCAAAGTTTGCGGTAATAAAGCAATTCTCTGCCTTACTCCCCACACTATTTTCACCCTTTTTGTGGGAGACTATTTGCATGGCATCCATTTTGTTAAAATCTGCTCTGCCATCTCCTGCCCCAAGGCAGGATATCTCTGTACACAATGTTTCTGCATTCCTTTAAGTAACCATTTACTCAGCCAGTTATGCTGTTTATCTTTTGTTCCACCTGTGATATTTACTTGAAATTGCTTAGGGGTGGTTACCACAAACTTATGCTTGGCAACAAATGTTCTTGTTTTTCTGCTTCTTGCCCTATATATAATGTGGATCTCCCCAGAATAAAGAGAGAGCCCTGTCTTGTCTCCATTTCTCTGTCTCTTGTCCCTCCTCATCCTCACTCCCCCTCTAGAGTCCTCATTGCTTGACCTGCGGACCGGTCATCTTTTAGTCCATTATTTTGATATTTACCTCTACATCTTAAAATAAGAGCATGAATTGCAACTTTTTGATTTTTCAGTTTTAGGCATTATCTTCTCAAACCCCTCAGTTTGCAAAATGAGAATTTCTGTCTTCCCTCTCCATGCTCCATCACAAGTATGCACCTTTCCTATTCTTTCCTCTCAAGAAATCTATTGTAATTTTGGTTCTAAAACATTTGATATTTATATTATTATAAATATATGAGTATTCCCAGCAAAATCATGTAGTAAACCATAATAACTTTTCCTCTCCTACCCAACTTTTTGCTTTAATTGGTACTATCTTTCCCCACCTTTTGCTTAGTTTCTTTTTTATTTTTTTTAGCAAAATAAAATAAAAACTACTGCCTATTCAACCAAAACGCTTCCCTAATTATCTAAATTTCCTATCAAGACCTTCAGATGTATCAGGTATTCTATCAGTTTCACTTCCCTAAAATTATGTCTCTTAACTTACTTCAATCTGACTGAGGCATCTGTCTCATTAACTAAGAGTTCTTTGAGGATCAAAATTATATTAAATTCATATATTCTTAGTGCCCAGCAGAGTAGATGATCAAAAAACATTCAGTACATGAAAAGACATGTTTAACCACATACTCTTCAAAGGCTTGGGAAAGGGACAGACTTTGGAATAAGACAGACATGGTTCTGAATTCCTAGCTCTACCACTTAACAGCTATAAGACTGGCAAAATTACTTTTATTCTGAACCTCAGCTTCCTCATCTAAAAATATAAATACAAATACAAAAAATATATAAATACAAGACCCTTGTAATGATTACATGGAATACTGTGTATAAAACACCTAGTCCAAAACTTGGAACACAACAGACATTCAACAAATATTAAGCTTCCTCGTCCTCCCTTCCCCATCTCCCATTTCTGAATTACATTAAACCAGCAGTTCTAATCCAGCTGTGTTATCTAATTACCAGTCAGTAGAGAGAGAGCAGAGTTATAGTGAGTACACTATAAAACACTTAGTATTTCTGTGCAGCAGTTCTCTATGAGCCACTATTACTGATGGGAATATGTCTCAAATGTCAACATTATCCAAGTATTGAGGCAAAAATAAAAAGCTGAGAACCACTACATTAGACAAACTAGAACACACATTTGGACGTCATCATATTTAGTCCTTCATCATGAATACTGTAATTAAATGCTATGCCTTATCTATTACAAATCCATCTAAGTGTTTTGGGGAACATCTTATGTAACCTCAAACAATATTTCCAATTCTATACACATTGATTTTTTTAAATAAAAAAAATCTTCTCTAAAAAAGATATGCTTCCTTGTTTATTACATGAGAGTTAAGTACTGTAACTTATTACTTGTTTCACTGTCATGGTTTCAAGAAAGCTCAACTAAATCTGATGCCCAATTAAAACAAACATGTAAATTCTTATGTTTAAGTTTCTTCTTCCTTTTTCTGAGTCTTTTCACATCCTTTATAAAAAGTGATGGCATTAAAAATATCAACAAATTTAAAAATGTAAAACTATGCCACATCTCTAGAGTACTAAAAGAAAAATTAAATTTAACCTTTTCTCTCTTTGGTTCAGGACTTAAAACTTGGTACTTTTTTTCCAAGTTCAGCCTAGATGTATGAGTATTCTCTATTAGGAAGAATTAACAAGCCCAGATCAAAAGTTTATGGGAATTCCATGATCAACAGGGATCCATAACTTAGTATTTTCCCTTTTTCTCCTGAAAATCATCCAAAAGAATTGGTAGTAAGCACTACATATATTTAACAGTATAACTAAAGTGAAACATTTGTGAAGAATAGAATGACAAACTATATGGAAATGCCATATGGTCTAAAAATTAAAACTGATCCAATGAACAAAAAATGGGGGGAAAATAAAAAAAGAATGTTGAAAGAAAGTATGATGAGTACCTAATCTGTAATAGCTGTAAGTCAAAGTATGTTATATTTAAAGCTGAAAAATCGAGTAACAGAAATGTAGTTATATTTATCAGAACAAAGTTAATACTAAGAAAAACAATATTATTGACTAAAGTCAGTGAAAGAGAAGAGAAAAAATAAAAATATACTTATTTATTATTGCTTATAATTGGGAACTAATCAAAACTAATAAAATTTGATTGAAGAGAGAGAACTGTGTGACTACCCGAGTAAAGGGTTTGCCAAGCAGAAGAAACAGCAAACACAGAGGCGCTAAGCCAAGAGCGTATCAGAGATGCCTGTGAAACAGCAAGACTGGGGCAGTTGAAGCAGAGTAAGTGAAAGAGAGATGACAGAGGACAAACTCGAGAGGTATCCTGGGCTAGATCACAACAGGTCTAAGGGCTAGGGAAGGACTTGGGACCCCATTCAAAATTTGATGTAACACACATTAGAGGAGCATGCTTGACAATATCTAGTGTAAACAAGGGAAAAAATGGTGGAAAAATATATACTAAACTGTTAAATGAAGTGACCTCATTGCAGGGAGGGAGGAAGAGAAGTGAAATTTCATTTACTGACTCATACTCTTCTATTATATTTGAATAATTTAAAATATGCATGTGTTACTTTTCTAAGCAAAAAAAAATTTACTCATAAAAAAGAATAATTATTTGTCAGGAATTTATCATCATCATCATGCATTTATTATACAAAAACTACTGTGACAGGTAGAAATCACTGCCCTTTAAAATTTTTATAGCCTATATCCTAGGCCAGATTAATAAGATTACTAAAATCATCCAAACTCCAAAATCAATTACATTAACAAAAAGACCATGAAGATTCAAAAATTTACATCACTTTTCTTACCCAGTAAAAAACTGAAAGAAGAAAGTGAATGAGTATTGTAAATTTACATCTGTAACACAGAAAGCCACTAAAGATATTGTCGTATGCTATAGAACCATCTACTCCTTCAACCACCAGTCTAGAAGAAGCTGTGGGAGAACAAGCATAATCCCCTATGGTAGTTGGTCTCTAAAGATGACCCCTAGTGGACCTCACCTTCTGGTATTCAAGCCCTTGTGTTTGTTCTCACAGTGAACATGGTCTGGCTCTGTTAGTTGCTTTAACTGAAATAATGGAGAAATGCTGCTGTGTCAGTTCAAGACCTAAGACTTAAAAAAGGTAGAACAGATTCTGCTTTTGTTCTGGACCTCTGAGCAACATGTAAGAAGTCCACTTCCCTTGCTACAGAGACCACATGGAGGGGTATTGTAGAGAAGTTCTAAGACTGCATGAAGAAAAAGACAGAGTCCAAGCTGTCTCAACATTCCAGCTGAGTCCAGCCTTTTAGCCATTCCTACCAAGGTACAACATATGTTCAAGTGAGCTATCCTCTAGTTCAGCTGAATCCCCAGATGATTCAGCCCACAACCTATATGACAAGAACCACCTAGTCAAGGCAAAACCACAGAATTGTGAAATATAATAAGTGTTGGTGTTATTCTTAAGACATGGATTTTGGGGTATTTGTTAACACAGTAATAGTTAATAAACTCCCCCTTCCAGTAATTAACTTAACAAATCTATGCCTCTTTTCCTAAGCTATAATGCACAATACACAACTGTCATTGCTTGACACTGCCAGTAACAAATATCTTAAGGGATTCATAAAATAAATACTACTCAAATTCTAAATCAGCATAAAGTACAAATTAAAATAACAAATATATGTTAATTGCAATGAATTAAAATCATGTCTTACTCTTATGATGATATCCTTAGCTATAAAACTAATGTTTAAGTATAACGAGAGAAAACTCGTTAGAGCGTCCGCCTGCGGACCAGAGAGACCCGGGTTCGGTTCCCGCTAAGGGCACGTACCTCGGTTGCAGTTTGTCCCCGGCCCTGGTTGGTCGTGCGGGTGGCAGCCACTCGATGTGTCCCTTTCACATCGATGTTTCCCTCTCTCTCTCTTCCTCTCTCTCCCTCCCACTCTGTCTGTACAAAAAATGGAAAAATGTCCTCGGATGAGGATTAAAAAAAAAAAAAAAGGCATAAATTAATTCAGATCATATATTTTAAAAATACTTAAATTTTCTTCCTTACTTTCTGGGATTCATCTCTATCACTCTCAGAAATTAAAAAAAAGCCCAACTTAATGGACCATTATGTATGTGTTCATGATTGTCTTTCTCACTTTTATGTTAACTATATTAAGTATTACACAGCTGAATATCAAACTAACTATATAATTATTTCTTTTCCATCCATTAAGAAGTATTTGAAACCCTGGCCGGTTTGGCTCAGCAGTTAGAGCGTCGGTCTGCGGTCCAGAGAGACTTGGGTTCGGTTTTTACTAAGGGCATGTACCTGGGTTGCAGTTTGTCCCCAGCCCTGGTTGGGTTGTGCGGGTGGCAACCCCTCGATATGTCCCTTTCACGTCGATGTTTCTCTCGCTCTCTCCCTCCCACTCTATCTGAACAAAAAATGGAAAGGTGTCCTCAGGTGAGGATTAAAAAAAAATAAAAGTATTTGAATATCATCAGGTTGTTACACTTGTAACACCAATAATATAAGGCATTTAAAACATGAAGAATAGCCCTGGCCAGTTTGGCTCAGCGGTTGGAGTGTCGGCCTGCGGTCCTGAGAGACCCGGGTTCGGTTCCCGCTAAGGGCATGTACTTCGGTTGCGGTTTGTCCCCGGCCTTGGTTGGTCGTGCGGGTGGCAGCCACTCGATGTGTCCCTTCACGTCGATGTTTCTCTCCCTCTCTCTCCCTCCCACTCTGTCTGTACAAAGGATGGAAAAATGTCCTCGGGTGAGGATAAAAAAAAAGTAAAACATGAAGAATATCTGACTAAAATCCACCCCATTGTGATTTTTTTACCTGTCCTTTTGCAATGAGATATGCAACAATTGAGGTATGTCCAAACTGAGCAGCTAGGTGAATACAGCTACATCCTTCTCCATCAATTAATGAAGGATCCGCACCATATTTCATTAGTTGCACAACCATAGATAGATGGCCTTGTCTAAAACATAAAAGAATAAACACTTAAATATATAGTTATTTTAAACAGTATCCTCTGGAAAATTTTTTTTAAAAAAGGGTAATGGTAAAAAAGATAACACGAATATCTTTTAAAGTTTTTTTATAACAGGCATGTCAAGACACATTTACGGTTCACGGTTCTTAATTTTTAATTGGAATATCCATCCTTGAAATTTGAGAGATACGCATAACTTCTTTAAATATGTAATAAATAGTTACTATATTCTATTAATCCTATTCCAATGTGATCTTAATCATCTGATAAACTGGGCAACTTCTTTCATTGTAAATATATATAGGCTGCAAAAGTATTATTACATTTACAAGTCTAAAGTTTAACCCAATAATATAACTGTATTAATATAAGCATGGTTAATTCCCTAAGGACATTTTCGACAATAAACTTTAATTCTAATGCAGGTGACACTGACCAGCAATACATTAGTATAATAATGGTGTTAATATACTATTGGCATAAATTCTCCTGTTCATTTTAGCATATTACTAAAAAAAAGTTGCTTAGTTATAGACTAATAAAGAAACCAACAGGAAAAAAATCCAGAAGCAAATTTAAACCTTGTGGCCCAATGCAATGGAGTTGAATTTAGGTCGCCTCCAAGCTGATCCACAATAGCACCTTTCGAAATGAAGTATCTATAAGACAAAATTTTAAATAATTTAGACAACTTTCATTTCAATTTTAAGAAATTATGTAAAAAAAAATTTTACTTTAGATATGCTAGTTTGTGCCTTTGAAGATAAACAATATTTTGTGATAGTTTAAAAATATATTTAGCAGAATGTATACTAAACACATCACTTCCTTTTGTTTTAGAAAAGGAAAAAATATATTATTTTTAAATTACCAAAAAGAATAGCAATACCAAACAACAATCATATATTAAAAAACAGGCAAAGAAAACAAGCAAGCAGTCAGAGAACCACGGAGATTTGGTCCTGACAGCAGCAGATAGAATCTTGGACTTAGAGGAGCTGTAGAACATGCTAGACACTTAAGTCTACCATGGGTAGAAGCTCAACTTATTAAGCTTTACTTGCCTTACAAGGTTACTATAGACTAAATCAAACAATATACATGAAAGAATTTTATAAAGTATAACATAAAGGTTTTTTATGATGCCTTATTTGTTATGCCTTTAAAGCTGTGTTGCTTTAAAAAGAGCAACCTCATTGCTTAATATATTAATGTCATAACACCTTGATATCCTGTGAAATAAATAGGACCTAGATGCTTCTTACATGCTTGCTTTGGGAATAATCAATGCAATGACTCGAAAATAAATTATTTCAAAGCATTTTAATGTCAAATGATTGATGATGTATGTATGTTACTGAGGCTCTTAAACTGTTCTAAGTTTGATGCAATCACTCTTAATATACACAGTTCTTTTTTTTTTTTTTTTGAATCCTCGCCCAAGGACATTTTTCCATTTTTTTGTTCAGATAGAGTAGAAGAGAGAGAGAGAAACATTGACATGAAAGGGACATATCAAATGGCTGCCTCCTGCACAACCTCAACCAGGGCCCGGGACAAACTGCAACCAAGGTACGTGCCCTTAGCAGGAACCAAACCCAGGTCTCCATGGACTCCGTGCCACTGCTCTAACTGCTGAGCCAAACCAGCCAGGGCCATAGCTCTAAATATTTAATATACTCATATTTGTATGCTTGATTTGAAAATTTTCTACTTTATATAAATATTTATTAAATTGGTACTTATCAAATATTGTGCAATGAAGAGCCCAACTCTACTCTATCATGTAAAATAGTTTGAATTGACTTATTTCCAGACTAAAATATTTTCAGTCCAAATTATCACAGTTTTAAATTTTGTAAATTTTGAACAAAAATACAGAATGTTGTAATCTTAACACAGACATTTAGCTAGTCCTAAATTGTTTAAGATACTTGGCAGACGTTATATAGTAGTTGAAAATTTGTACTTTGAGCCCAAAGAGAAGTACAGCTCAGTCAAAGAACAGCTTTGATAGGAAATATGTTCTGAAAATTTCCAACTGGGATTAAAAAAAAATGATCACCTCCTCTAGAGTCAACATATCTGTTACAGAGAGTTATTTTTACTGACATTTCAAATACTTGGTAGGACTATGACTGTAAGTGATTTCCAACATGGTTCTAAAATATAACTTTTTTTTTCTCCACAAGGGTAGGGTAATTATTTTTCTCCATGCTAAAAAAAAAAAAAAAAAAAAAATCACTTCTATTACCTTTTCATTATAAACTCCTGGAAGAGAGGTACTATATTTTTATAACACGTTATTTTTTGTAGCTATAAGAGTGTAGCTCAAAACTACACTCCTGAGAAGACTGAATACTTCTTATTTTTAAATTCAAGTTTCCCTGCAATACTAGAAGGTTATTATCAAAAATGCTTTTGCAGGAACTAATGATCCTCAGGATTTGAGAAGGAACATCAGTGAACAAGAGATATCAACAAGTATTTGAAAAATGAAAAGCAAATAGCTAAAACTCAAGTGTCTCCAGAGGGGCACACCAATACGAAGCAAACCAGAATATGTTATAAAACCCTAAAAAAGCTAAGGGATTAAAGTCAATTGTTACCTCTGAAGAAAGAAATAAGAAACTGGACTGTAAATATAAACACTGGTCGAAAGTCAATATAAGTTGCTGAAAAATTATTGTTTTCTAAACTATATTCTCACTGATAGTATTTATTTAACATCACAAATAGGCATTTCAGTGACAAGGAAGCAATCAAGTAGCTGACAGTGTCAGAAAAGGATTTATGACTTAACAGAACAATGTACACTGTTACATCTTAAAATATGACTACTCAAATTTTTAATATTATAATAGTAGTAATTCAAACTCTTCTTTTAAAGTTCAGGTTCATTCTTGCATCCTTAAACTTCATTTTATCATGGTGACTTAGGTTTCAGCCTAAGGCCCATGTTGATTTTAACACTCAACCATCAGCCTTTGCCAAAGGTGTATTCTGTGCACCTTTACCTGAAAAGTTTGAGACCCAGGGAATTAAGTCAGAGAACTATATAAAACATTTCACTAAAAATGTAGCAACTCAATGCAAGTTTATATGCTGAACAACAAGAATCCCAAGCCATTTTCCTGGTTGAGGTAAGTACCAATTAGACAGATGCTTAGCCCCCTCCCTAAAGATTAGAAGATTCTTCTCTAAGAGAAACCTTAAAACCTCGGAGAAAAACCTCCAGCAACGGACACTTATTTGGGAGATTCCTGTTGTAAACTCTCTAAGTCCCACAACTTCCAATCGTTTTTTTAAAAGAGAGTCCTGGCTGGTTTGGCTCAGTGGTGGAGCCTCGGCCCATGGACCAATGAGTCACTGTTGGATTCAGGTCAAGGGCATGTACCTCAGTTGTGGTTCGGCCCTGGCCCTGGTCAGGGTCACGCTGGAGGCAACCAGTCAATGTGTTCCTCTCACCTTGATGTTTCTCTCTCTCTGCCTTTCTCTCCCTCCCACTCTATCTGAAGATAAATGGAAAAATATCCTAGGGTGAGGATTAAAAAAAATAAAAATAAATAAAAGAGAAATAGAGAGGAAAAGGGGGAGGGAGGGGGAAGGGATGGAGAAGGGAGAGAGAGGCATCAATGTGAGAGCGAAATATTGATTGACTGCCTCCTGCATGCCCCTAATGGGGATTGAGCCCAAAACCCAGACAAGTACCTTGCCTGAGAATCAAATGGGCAAACTTTCAGTGCACTGGAGTGTGGGAGACTTTTTGCATGGCATCCATTTTGTTAAAATCTGCTCTGCATGCAATGTTTCTGCATTCCTTTAAGTAACCATTTACTCAGCCAGTTATGCTCTGTTTATCTTTTGTTCCACCCTTGAAATTGCTTCGGGGTGGTTACCACAAACTTATCTCTTGGCAACAAATGTTCTTGTTTTCCTGCTTCTTGCCCTATATATAGTGTGGATCTCCCCAGAATAAAGGAGACTTGATCAGAGCCCGGTCTTGTCTCCATCTTGTCTCCATTTCTCGTGTTGAGTCCTCGTTGCTCGACCTGCGGGAGGGGTCACTGGAGACGCTAAACCAACTGAGCCACACCTGCCAGGGTACAATCAGCTTTTTTATGTCTCTCCTAAACATTAATGGCCAATAGGACCAGATAATTGTGTATAACTTTAAATATGGAAGAAGACCAAAATAATACAGAAGCCCAAATAAACAGACAATATACAGAGAAGAAAACTTAAAACACAACAAAAGTTACAATTAAGATCCTCCAAAAAATAAGATAATATACCCATGATCTAAGATCAAAACATTTTTCCTAAAGGGTGAGGTGAACAGAGACCCAGAAAGAATGCTTGAAAATTGAAAATGTGTTAGATAAAATTTAAATTTAAAAAAGGGAACAAGATAAGTTAAGAAAATCTCTTCAAAGTACAACTGCTATACTGTGAGACAAAAGGTAGCTGGGATACAGCTAAAAAAAAGGAAAAAGAAAATAAAAGAATCAATTTGGTTGGTTCCAGTGTTTGACAAGTAAGAGTTCTTGAAATAAAAAAAACAATAGACAATGAAAATGAGGCACTCTTGAGGGCACACTACAAGAATACTTCTCTAAGCTAAAAAGGCAAGTTCCTAGTCTAAAAGTGACAAATTAATGGCCATAAACTGAATTTTTAAATAATAAATCAATAAACAGAAACCTATTAATGCATGATAAACTTTCACAAAGTTGGAGATAAAGGAAAAGTTACATGTTGCCAGAACACACACATAGTGTGTTCTCAGAAAATTATAAGCTCCATATTTTCTAATAAAGCCTTGCCCAGATGGTGTGGCTCAGTGGCTGAGCATCAACCCATGCACCAAGAGGTCACTAGTTCGATTCCCAGTCAGGGCACTTGCTCAGGTTGTGGGCCCAATCCCCAGTGGGGGGTATACAGGAGGTGGCCAGTCAATGTTCTCTCTCATTGATGTTCTCTCTCTCTCTCTCTCCCTCCCCCTTCCTCTCACTCTAAAATCAGTAAAGAAAAATTTAAAATATAAAAACTAAAGCCATGACTTGAAATCAGAGACTGCATGCAGTATTTAATGAAGAATCTGAAGGTAACAGCAGAATGTTGAAGACAAGAGGCTGAACTAATCTCTTCTATTTTATTACATTAGGGTTAAAGCTGAGAAATAGCTGAAAGACTTTCAATTGAAAACATGAGGAATATAAGCCTAATGGTTGAAGATCTCCTCCTTTCCAAATTACACTTACTTTATATATTATCATCATGAAAGTGGCCCATCTTCTTTGCTTGCAGTAAGTTCCTTTAATACATCCTGATGAAACGTAACTGTTAGAAGGGACCCTTGTCTATGGGTCTCTTGTGCTCCCATATGTCTTGCTGGGTATAAGAAAACTGCCAGGCCCTACCCACTCTTTACACAAGCCATTTCTCAGAGGTGGAAGATGAGGTAACATCTTCCTCTGGGACAAAGAGGATGCTTGGTTACCACTTACTATATAAAAGCACTAAACTCCCCAAGCTACAACACAAACCCACTGTGTGTGCTGCATCCATGAGGACCATATCAAGCGCTCTCACAGGACTTAAGGAGCAAGCGGGTTCTATGTAAATACTAGGTTCATGCTATTTGCTATGCTGTGAA